ATTAATATTATTAATAGTACGCGCCAGGTGCCGTGAAACCATGGTCACATGACTAGTTAAGGTCCACCTTGGCATTCAGACGGGCCTATTTGACCTGTAACCTGACCTAAAGCGGAAAGGGAAACTCGCTCGATTTCTGCAGCAATCCAGTTCGGTAGTTTCCTTACCAGTCTACATCATAAACATACCAAATGAGTACTGGTACTTGAAGGGCCGGGAGCAAATAGTGTAAAAGATGCATACGCGTCTGGAGATGTTGCTGCTTCTCGTCCGATTGCAACTAATTCTACTATTCGATTTTCTAAGCCAGAAAGGTTACATAACCAGATGTAGGTGGGCTTCGACTCGCCCAGGTTCAGTTCCCAGAAGTGAACCTGGTGTCTAGACCGGCGTTTGGGAAGCAATGAACATTTAGGAGATTCCACGCTCAAGGAAAAGACGTGATAGAATGGCAACGCATTGCTAATGTGTCAATCAGCCCGCTCGGGGAGCTTCATCAATTTGTTCAGGTTGTAGAAAGTGGAGAAAAGGAATGATAGAGAAAAAAAAAGATAACATAAGTCACAAATTCATATGTGGGTTTGCGAGGTGAGCTGTTGAGCAAGCCGAACCGGCTAACCAACCGTCTCGCAGAGCCCGGTCGTGTGTCCAAGCACAGAGAGAAAAGAACATAGACAGAAGATCGCTCAGGACCAGGTCTGCCATGCATTGACATCACAAAATTAAGCATCTTGTCTTCGGAACCAGGAAATAATAGAATCAATATGCTTCAAAAAACACCCCAGAAGTAAGAAATAAAGAAATCATCCAAGCTTGGCACATCCCGTAGCGCGTTTCAGGTCACATTATGTACGACGTTCACATTACATGATGGTGGGGGTCTTACGCTTCTCAGCGCTGGACAGCACAAGCATAGGGGTCTTGCGCCGTTCCTGACCCTGAGCTACCGTCTCCTGGCCAGCGACGACAGCAGCAACCGATGGGGAGCCCGTTCGAGGAGAGCCCTGATCCGCTCGAACGTCCGCAAACTTTCCTCCAAAGAACCCACCATCCTCACTGATAGGGGTCGTGTTGTAGGGGCTATCCTGCGATCTGCGCTCACGAGAAGACCTTTCCTTCCTCTCGGAACCAATTGCACCATTGGCAGCTGCGCGGAGGCTACCCAAGCTGGGCTTGCTGGAAAGACTGCCACTACGCACAGTGGCATCATCTCCATCTGAGAACGTGAACTCCTTCTCACTGGCGGGGGTGTTCGTGCCACCACTGCTATGGCAACCAAAGCTCCGAGTGTCACCGCGGCGCTCGATGCCGGCGCGCACCAAGTTGTGGACGGCCCGACGTCGCTGACGCGTGGCAAAGTTCTTGCTGCCTTCAAACTTGGAGGTGGGCTTCGCAACCAGCTCTTCCAGGGAAGGAGGGCCGCGAGGCTGACGAGTGGGATGCTCACCCGCACGAGCTTGGCCAGGGCCAAAAGTTCCTGTCGCAGGGGTCTGAGGCAAGGCAGCAGTCTTAGGGCCAGGCGCCACGATTTGGCTGTTGGCTTTTATGGTGTCAATGGGCAGCTTCAGTGCAGGGCTGAAAGAAGAGCTCTTCTTGTGTCCCCGACGGAATGCGTTGATTGAAGGCGGGGGCAGAGGAGCGACGTCCTGAGGCGGCGACGGGCTCGACCGTGGAGGAGACACGGGCTCACCGATGCTGACAGGGGATTGGTGGGACTCGGGGGGAGAAACCTCGGCTCTGAAAGTGGGCACTTGCACGGATGGGAACGAAGGCTCCTCTTCGTGGTAGGGAGTAGTGGAGCTTTCCTGCTGGAAGGTGTTGTCATAGATGAAGTTTTGCTGGCCGGTCAGAGGGTTGTAGACCGAGAAGAGACCGGGCTGACCTGGCACCGGCTGCACGATCGGCTGCACACCCTGCTGAAGCTGTTGCTGGTAGAAGCTCATGCTGGGAACCGAAAGCGCAGGGTATTCCTGTTGCTGCTGAGCCATAGGTCCACCCAAGGTCATGCCCTGGAACTGCTGGGCTGCTGCAGTCACACTGATCAATTGCTGCTGCAGGCGCTGTTGCTGAGCGGCAAGAAAGAGGTTGGTCGACATCAATTCCGCATACAGATTATCGTCCATTGGCATATCGCCAGCGATGTCAATAGCCGGAGGTGCGAGCACCTGCTCCGGCAAAGTATACATAGGACGACCCGTGTTCATGTCCACATTCTGATTCGTGGCTAGTGAGTGGCGTGGGAAACCGGTTCCCATGGCGGTTTGAGGGACACGCTCCGTAGCTCGGTTCGAAAGAGTGCCATACCGGTCGCCTTCGTAACCCAGGTGCTGCTGGCGTTGAACTGCAGACGGCACGGTCGCGGACTTCGGTGCGGTCCTCAGTCCCGCCAGAAGATGAGAACGGCTAGTGCGTGGCGTCGGGACGGGTGCAGAAGGCTGAGATTCGTCAATGGTCGCGATGTGCGGCGGGGGTACGCTCAGTCGCTTGATATGGGAACCCTTCCGCCGAGAGCCGAAGCTGGCCCCAGGAACCCCGAGGGAACCGCCATTATTGAAAGAAGAGTTGTAGCTCATTTGAGCAAGACCGCCAGCGTCCATACTCGTGATTGTAGATGATGAAGTGTACAATAATATATGTGCAAAAGACGAAGAAAAGGGTGTGCTGGTGAATCAGCAACGCAGAGTAGCCTTGGCGTATTAAAGGATTAAGAGGCTTCGGCAATGATGAGACGCACAGACAAACTGAGACTGGACGATCGAGGGGCAACGAATGGTAATAATAGTCCACACCTTCCAAGATCAGAGACCGGTAGGAGCTTTCGTAACAATCAGCCAAATGCTGCGAGCAACCGCCTCAACGCCAGCTTACCTGCGAAATACAGGAAGATATGCAAGTCGACGCGCCTTGACGGAATGGCACCAGACGGCAAAGAGCGATTAAGAATCAGGTGTACAAGAAAATAGAAACCAGGCGTCAGCGTTGACGATCAATGCTGCTGGCTTGAAAGGATGACCAAGAGAGAGGGCGAAGGTAAACGCGACCGGAGCAAAGGAGTAGTCGGCTCAAGCAACGGTGGAGGTGAAGGATATGTCTGCGATTAAAAGACCGATGATGGTGAACAGACGGGAGATGCTCTGCAACTCCCTAGTAGGCGTGAAAAATAAAGCTCGACACAACGATGTAATGAAGAGAAGACTCAAGCCTGAACTGTCCGTCCGAGTCCTTCGCAACACAAACACAGCGATGCAATGGTGACGAGATAGGAAGTAAGGGATGCAAGCAAAGACTTTTGTGTTCTTGTCAAGGGAGATCGATAGATGGATGATTAAGGGCGTGTTCTTCTCAGTTTCTCCGGATTTATCTTTGATAACCTTTTCTTTTAATCCCTTTTTCTCACTGACGCTTTTTTCTTTTTTGTGTTTTCTGGGGTTGATAAGGATTCCGCGCACTTGGGACGGTGGGAAGAGAAGGAAAGGTGAGAGGATGAAGTGAGGAAACGAGTCTCAACGCCGGGTGTGATTGATTCGTTTCTTCGGCTCTCGGCGCGTGTTTTGGCCGCCTTTTTTTTTTTTTTTTTTTTTTGCTTTTTTTTTTCTGTTTCGTTCTCCGTGGCTTTCCTGCCGCGCCTAATCGGGAAGCCAAGTGGTTCTGGTGCCTCAGGCAGACAGACGGTGCGAGATACCTCTCCCGATAAAGTCGGATGGAAGTCGAGCACAAAGCAAGGTCGGGCAGTACACGCAAATTAAAGGTCTAGCAGATGGAAGCAAAGCAATTAAGTGAGGTATAAGAGATAAGCGGGAATGAGGCCTTTGGAAAAGAGGCCAAGGGTAAAAAGGAATCTTGTGGAAGTAGAATGACAAGGCTGACGGGGGGGCGAAGGAGGCCTGGAGTGACGGAAGGTACGCGAATAAGAGAGAGGAAGAGAAGGGAGAACAAAAGATGTCGAGGTAGAGGGGGAGGGAGTGAAAGCAAAAGATAGAGGGAGAGGGGGAGAGAGAGAGGTAGGTAGAGAGAGGGTGAGAAAGAAGGGAGAATAGAGGAATGAATGAATGAATGAGGAGAACACTAAGTAATAATAGATAGAGAAGGGAAGGGGAACCAGCGGGGGGGTAAGTTTGATGGGGTGAGGGAGAGAGAGAGGCAGAGTGTCAGTGAGAAAGAAAGTGAAAGCTGCCATTCTCCAATTCCAGCTTCCAGACGCTGAGCTGAGACGCCCACTTCGCCGCCCTGGTCCAGTCTGCCTTGCTGACTGGCTCGCTTGACTGCTACACTTGTCCTCTCTGGGACTAGTGCTGTGGCCATTGTTTGGCAGTTGCGGGCCTGGGGCATCTGATTGGAGCCAGCATCCAACCGGGGTCTGGTGCCTGAGGATTTCAAAGGTCTCTTAAGGTCTCTAAGGATTCCTGAGGAGTGCGGACAGATAATTGTTTGGTCTAAATGAATCCCACCCGTCAATCACCCGTTCCTTTATCTGATGCTTCCAGTTTGTCAACTTGGTCGAGTGTCAACTGTGTCATTTATGTCATCTGTATCATCTGGGACCCATTTTCATGTTGCACCCCCCCCCCCCCACACATCTAGAGATGCAATGAAGCTCCCGTCACCTCTAGGCTCTTACTGAAGCCACCTAAACAGAACCATATGTTCGTCCCACCGACCAGTGCGCTTGAACTCACAAATCCACCCGACGCTCGACCAATTCGTCGTTACGCTTTCCCTTTCCTCATTGGCCCAGACCTCCTTAGATCTAACTAATGTCTCCACAGCCGCCTCCTGACGAACGATAGTTAGGTTGCCAACCAAGCCCGAAAGAATGGATCCGGCAGTCTCACACTATCGTCCACAAGACCTCTTTTCAAACGAATAGACATTGACCCAAACATCCGGATAATTAGCATACATACAGGGATCGAGCTGAATGCAAGACTCCTCGAATAACACCCACAAAGCCATCAGCGCTCTGGTTGCAAAACCAGGCCCACCACCAACGGTGAAAATACTTAACTGACATCATGCTGATTAGACTTCATTTTAAAGACAGAGTCGTCAACAGTTTCACTTTCTGTCTTTATTCTGGATGATTGATAGGCGTGACATCCAACTGCAAGATCCCGTTCGAGTCGTGCCTTCTCCTCGTCCGTGGCATCCGTGAGGCGGACGGCAACCTCTTCACCAAAATTCTTCGCGACTTCCTCGAGGGTCAGACGGGCTGTCTCGGGGAAAAAGAAATATATGACTAGAGATTTTGTTAGTAACGGTGCAGTAGGCCAGTTCTCAACCTGGGAAGCTCAGTACTATGTACCTGGAATGAAGAAGACGGACCAGCAAATAATGACCAGGTAGTACTTCCATCCAATGTTGTTGAAGCCCATTGGAGCGGTTTCAAGTTATATCAATGTAGCTGCGCCCTTCAATTAGCCGTGTTGCGAAAGCCCGCCATAGAGGTTCTACTTGCCAGCAAATTGTCCAAATAATGAAAAGCCCATGCCAATCGGCCGAATTTCGGTGGGAAATATTTCAGACACATAGAGGTACATCGTGGTATCACAGAAAGTTCTGATGCAAAATTAGAACCCCATCGTGGATTGTTTAAAGATCTGCTCACCCCTGGAAGGCCAAATAGAGGTAAATGAAGAAAATGCCAAAAACCGTTTCCAACCCGATTCTTGGTCCCTGCATACTGTGGCGTCATGCCAGCTAGGCAGGATGTAGAGATAATAATCCCGAAAAAGCCAACAATATACATTTTCCGCCTTGAGTTTACTCTGTCATGAAGCCAAGCTCCTAGCGGGTTATATATTATTCCTAGACCTCGAGTGTCAGCGCCAGCTGGATCATGAGCAAACCATCTTACCAGCTGTGGTAAGCCATAGCACTGAGAAGCAAGGGCATGCCGCCTGTCATCCCCAGGTTAGTGTATAATATGACGGCGTAGTTGTTCTGTCAAATCAACGAGCGGCTAATCGAACAGTATTCGTGAATGAGCAACCGACTATGATCAAAGGCCCACCAAATTCTGCTCCCCATTGGGTCAGGAAACCAATGGTCATACGTTTTCCGATATGACCTTTTCCTGAAGACTGCTTTCCATACACTGCCATAGACAAACAATCGCTCTTTCTCCAGATGAATCTGTTGGGCGGTCTGGTAGAATTTTTCCTTGGCAACGAGATTGTCGGGATCATCAGGAGATTTGCGCAGTCGCTCCAAGACTGATTGGGCCTCGCTTTGTTTCCCTTTGCTGATCAACCAGCGAGGAGAGCGGGGAACCCACGGTGACCCAAGAAGCAGGAAAAAAGGTGGGAGGCATTGAAGGCAAAGCGGAAACCTCCAACTGAAAGTACCCATTTGACCTTGCGCAAAGTAACACGCATAGCCAACCCATCCAGCAAGCATGTACCCGAAGACCAGAAATATAGCATGGTGGCCCACAAGCCAGCCTCGGCGGAAAGCGCTCGATATTTCGGAGAGGTACAGGGGGCAGACCGTTACCAGGATTCCGATTCCTAGGCCGCAGATAAAACGCCCTGCCTGAAACATGCTGGAGACACATCAGCTCACCAGTTTCAAGAATGTTTGGAACACTTCAGCACGTACCTTGAAGAGTTGGCACCACCTTGGAGCGCACCGCCAAACATGGCGAGGAAAGCGCCCAAAGAAGTCGCATCACCACATAATGAAAAGACATCCAACTGCACCCCCAGCGCTGTATACACCGTTGGCAGTCGATATGGCTGATGTCGTGGTCGATGCGTATCCAGGCTGGCCCTCTTGTGGAAGGTTGAAATAGGTATACCACCCTGGTTGGCCGATGGTGCTCGAGATTATCGAGGAGCAGTAACCATAGGTCTTGAATGATTGAATCGATTTACAACATATTAGAGTGATAACAGGATAGAAGTCGAAGTCTTACCAATGACCCCACAGCAACAAAGGCCGTGACCAGCCTGTTGTAGCTACTCGTTTGCGATCCGAAAGTGCCCATGATGATGTATCAGGCTAGCACTCAAGGCGAGCGTGGTAGCGATCAAATATAAATCAGAGTCTGGCGATGAGTCTGGTCAATCAGTACTGTCAGCCACGATGCTTCAAGAAAGTGTGCGACCGAGGATTGCTTGGTTAATGGATTATGCAATCCGCTCTGCACAACAGCTAAGGATAGCACACGGACATCCACCCATTGATTAAAGGGGTGCATTTGCTCTTTTCGCTTGATGTTATGAGTGATGTACTACTCCTTGCTTAGTGCATATCCCAGTCCAGGCAATAATGACAGCTCAATGTGTCTTGTTTGCACCCTTCCTCGAAGGTTAATTGAAGGCTAATGCCTGGCTAATTCGGTTCTTTTCGAAAGGTGAATGACAAGAAGGGGAAAAGAAAGGGTTGACAAGGACGGAAGGATGGCTGTCGCCTCGTGCTGATTCCCCGCATTTTTACTCCCCAATTCAGGCTTGTGTTGCTGCAGGTGTGTCCCCTCCAGCTGAGAGTTTGCCAACTTCTACCTTCTTACACGACTCTGCGTTCCACAAGCCACGATTTAATCGGCGCCATTTTATCTTAGATTGTATTGTCGCCTCGAGGACTTCCTGGCATATTGGAAGGAGGTCAGGGCATCATTTCAAGTACGTGCTGCGACACTATGGTGACATTAGATGATACTGACATCGCGAGATGGCACTATATTGACCCACCATACGAACCACTCATTAACAGTCCTCGCACCACAACTCCACGAACCAGTCCCTTGCACAGCTCGTATTGAACAGTACAATCAGGGACTTGCGATATCTATGCTATCTCCCACAAGAACAGTAGACTCCACGCAGGGTGTCTCTGTAGCCATGACGGATAGACAATCACTCTTCGATACACCATTTGACCTTCTCCCAAATCCAAAGCAGGTCTGGGTGGGGGGAGCCTGGAAGCCAAGAAGAAGGTCTGGGGAGCTTTCCATTCTGACACCGGAAGTAGTGGCCAAGGCGGCAGCAACCGAGATCAAGACAGGCCGGCGCGTGACTATGGCTTGGGAATTGACCAAACTCGATTACCCCAATCTGGACCGCGGACCATGTCATCATCGGATTGTGCCGCTGTTGGGTGGCGTGGCTTTTAATGATGTCTATATGATGAACCCGCGTGAGACCAAAACGAAAGTCCCTTTCTCTTTCATTGTGTTGATGTTCTCGCAGAGCAAAGCAGTCAATGGGATGGGCTGCGACACTTTTCGCAGTCAGTCCCAGGTCAACCCGAGCGCGTCTTTTACGGCGGGACAACAGTGGAAGAGATCACTGACCGGAAGAATTATCGAATTGGCATACAAAACTGGGCACGGGAGGGCTTAGCTGGTAGGTAAATAGGCTATGAGGCAACTCATCATATAGCTTGAGCTGCTTTGAGTGTACTGAATCTCCCCTGACAGATCGAGGGGTACTCATTGACTACGCGACGTGGGCCGAGAAACGTGGTATACAATATAGCACGTTCTCAACCCATCAGATCAGACTATCCGATATCATACAAGTTGCAAAAGAATCCAACGTCGTCTTCCAAAAAGGTGATATTCTCTTCATCCGCATAGGAGTCACCAAGGAATGGGACACCGTCATGACACACAGTCAGAAGCAGCGATATTCCGAAAATCCGGAGCACCAACACGCAGGTGTGGAGGCTACTGGCGATGTGCTTCGTTGGCTCTGGGATACGGGCTCTGCAGCGATTGCGAGCGATGAAATCAGCTGGGAGGTGAGAACACCTACTATATCACTACCAGTGCTTCACATGGTTCGTTTTCTGACATCTGGCAGGTCTTTCCACCTCAGTCTCCTGATTTGTTTCTCCATGAATACGTCCTTGCGGGATGGGGCATGCCCATTGGTGGGTCTCAAGCTTCCATGTACACACTCCAATACCGCTACTGACTCCCTACAGGCGAACTCTTCAACTTATGGGCTTTAGCACGTACATGCGAGGACCTCAAGCGTTGGACGTTCTTCGTCACATCTGTGCCTTTGAATATGCCCGGTGGAGTGTCGTCCCCACCAAACGCAATGGCCATATTCTGAGGCATGTCTTGATGCAAAGCTACTATTGTTGTGATCTACCACTTGTGCCCTGCAATGTGAAGACCCAGTCGGGGCGCTTGCGTTGTAGTCTTAGAAGCAGAAGCCTTAGTCTGTGGCATACGGTCACCTCTTCTATCTTAAGAAAAATTTGATCCCTGATATGGACCTGTTCATCTCGCTGAAGAGCTGCCTCAAGGATTAATTTGCTATGTTGGTATGTCTATCTCGATGCCCACCCACCTTCACAAGGTTCCGCTTGGCCGGATGGCGGCAGGAGGTACGTATATGTTTGTATAAGCATAACGTGAGAATGTAAAAATGTAATTATGATAAAGGTGCTTGCTTACGAAGGCGCTTGGACAGGTGCGTGAAGAGGCCTCGCTGCGTTACTTCAAGGTTGCTCGGAAAGATATTTGGACACCTCCAAGATGCTTGATCATTCGAGCTGGAAGTATAGGTCCACGAAGGGCGCTTTGTGGGAGGGAGTTACTCGCCGATCAAGCCCTCCTTACCCGCCATGAGTCCAATTTCGGCTGTGTACTACAGCCATAGGCTTATTCGTGATTATTGCAGATAGACCATTCATGAGGACTCCGAGTTTCTGGCCCTCCACACCGCCCCTCAGCTCCTCTTTCTCCTATCCAACACGTTAGCATGATAGAGAAAAAGGGGGAAAGCAACACCTGAGTAGCGATTGGAGCTGTGCATCAACCTAAGAAAAGATCCCAACCCCACAAGGGACCGGGGACTACGTATAGGGATAGACCCGGGCTTGCCGAGAGGGTCGCCGACAGCAACACGAACTATTGTTAGGGTGGTCTTCGCTTCAGAATTCCGGGATGGACACCGCGTGATTATTGCACACAAGAGAACGAAGCATTATACGATCGAAGAGATCCACCCGATCGTGGTCTACGGGCGATTCAGAGCTGGATTTAGCTTGGCGTCTCTTGCCTCTCGCCTCAGTACGTATTGACTAGGACTGCAGGTGGCACTGTGGGGATGCATTGCAGGGATGGAGCGTGGCGAACCAAATGCTTGTGGTATGGATTAGTCTGAGTGTTGCCTATTCGCTGGTGATCATCGGTCTGAATTACGAGATTTGTCGGATTGGTCTTTGGAGAAAGGCCTCGCGCTGATAAGTGGATATGGGATACGGTGTGGTGTGTCTGTAGTGGGCTGGGAGTCTGCACACACACACACAAACACACTGTATCCGGGACTTCCGGAGAGTAGGCCCTGAGTGTGGTAGTTTAGACTGAGTCTAACTAGAGTCGACTAGATGACCAATGGCATCCTGTTCGTTCGAATAGTCCCTTTCGTAGACATCAACAGAAATGGTGTTACGGACTCGCTAGGAATTTTCTAGTCCCATGTTGTCTGAGATGGTCCAAGGAACCGGACCAGGTTTACTTCGGTTCAGCCAACGACAAGCGGTGGGTGGGCGCCCCGCTCTTTCCATAGGCACTTTTAGCCCGAGCCCTAGACTAAAGCTGTCGGCAAATTGATCGCCGGTAAATGTCAATTGAACTCTGACTGTTCAGGGTGTGTTTAGGCTTTGCACCTCACGTTTTGCTTGCGGGTTGGTCGGATAGCCCTACAGGAGACTGACCTCGAATGGAACTATGTGTGCAATTTCCAAGGGGAAATTATACGAGATACACATGAATGAAGTTTCGAGAGTCTCCGACCCTGCAGAGATCAGCAATCCCAAGTCCCAGACCCAAGGGAAGGGTTTTTGTCCCTGAACCAAACCTGAAGCTAGTCTCAAAGAAGCTTAACCTGACCCAGTCCTTCAGGTTTCTTCAGCTCGGGATATCCGAGCAAGCCGATTTCAACGTCATAACCAGCCCTGATTCACTCGCGATACGTCGGATACTGTTACCTGATAATCCCCTTTCTGACCTTGGAAGCGGATCCTACAAGCAATGGTGCCTGCCAAGAGGTCGAGACCTGGACCGTACGGCTTCCCACGTGGTGGTCTGCAGGGCAAATGACCACGGCAAATGCTTGCACCATGCAGACCCCTACTGCACCACTTTTGCCGGAAGGTGCCCGGCAAGTATAAAAGCAGTTCTGTTCCCAACTCTTGGGAGAACCAAGCTTCGCGTACATTCGTTTAGACGCTCGCTCCGGCCGAACAGGGCCCATTACTGTCACTCTTTCTCATTTTTCTTTGTACTGTCGTTCTTTACATACAGTCATTCATTCAATTAAAACATTATGCGTTTCGCTCCTCTTGCAGCGACCGTTGCGTCCCTGGGCGTGGCCAGTGCTGCAGCCATCAAGCCGAAGGACACTGCGCTGCGGGCTCGCGATACCTGCTTGGATGTGGAGTTCACCGGCGAGGTCTTGCACCTCTCCTTGAACATCATCGAGTACCCTGTTGTGGTCGATGTTCAGCTCGAGGAGGATGCCATCATCACCGTTGACAACACTATTCTCATCGAGGCTACGAATGCGCCTACTCACTTGCACACCACGGTGATGGCTACTTCTACTTCTACTATCACCAAGACAATTTCCACGGCTACCATCACTGCTGGTGGTGGTGAGGCTACTGCTGGTTTTGGCTCTGGTGCTGCTGGAGTTGTTGTCGGTGCTGGTTCTGGCTCTGGCTCTGGCTCTTCCAGCTCTGGACCTGGCTCTTCTGGCTCGTCCGGATCTTTCAGTTCGGGCTCCTCTGGAGTTGTCGCTGGCTCTGGATCCTCCAGCTCCGGCTCCGGCTCGTCCGGAGTTGTCTCTGGCTCCTCTGGTTCCTCTGGCTCCTCTGGTTCCTCTGGCTCCTCTGGCTCCTCTGGCTCCTCTGGGTCCTCTGGCTCCTCTGGCTCCTCTGGCTCCTCTGGATCTGGCTCCGGCTCATCCAACAATGGATTCCCAGCTGTCGTGACCAACATCAACCCTAAGACCACCAACACCCGCCTCATGTAAGTCCACACACTCCTGTACATCAACACTGCTAATTCCCTCCAGCCACCCTCAAGTGACCGGCTCCAAGAGCCTTCCCCCCGTCGCCGGCGGTTCTGCCGTTGGCTCGGGCGTCAACACCGCGCTCTACACAGCGTCGACCTCCAACACTCTGGTTGGCACGAAGACGACGACCATCCGCGGCGTCTCCACCACCGCGACCCGCACCTACACCACCACGCTGGCCTCGACCACCGCGACGCAGGCCGCGGGCGAGTTCACTGACTGGACGAAGTTCAAGGCCAACGGCGTGAACCTGGGCGGCTGGCTGGAGCAGGAACAGGTTTTCGACCAGGTGTGGTGGGACTCGTACGCCCCCAACGCGACCGACGAATGGACTTTCTGCAAGACCCTGGGCTCGCAGTGCGGGCCTGTTCTCGAGGAACGCTATGCCACCTACATCACCACCGACGACATTGACCGCGTCGCCGCAGTCGGTACGTTTCTTTCCCTTCACTGTATCTCACTACCACATGCCACTCAATACTAACCCACCGGCAAAGGCGTCAACACCCTCCGCATCCCCACCACCTACGCCGCCTGGATCCAGGTCCCCGGCTCGCAGCTCTACCACGGCAACCAACAGACCTACCTCCGCAACATCGCCACCTACGCAATCCAGAAATACAACATGCGGGTGATCATCGGCCTGCACTCACTCCCCGGCGGCGTCAACAGCCTGGACATCGGCGAAGCCTTCGGGCACGACGGTTGGTTCTACAACGCGACGAACCTGCAGTACAGTTACAGCGCGGTCTCGGCCGTGCTGGACTTCATCGCCAGCACGGGCAGCCACGCGTGGGCGTTCACGCTGTCCCCGCTCAACGAAGCCTCCGACAACCCGGCGGGCTTCGCCAGCCCCACGACGCTGACGGACAACGGCACCGCGTGGATCGTGCAGTACACGAAGGGGGTGCTCGAGCGGATCGCGCGCAGCGCCGTTCCGGCCGTTCCCGTCATGCTGCAGGACTGCTTCCTGGGCGAGGAGCACTGGTCCGGCCACTTCGACGCCTCCGCCAACCTGGTCTTCGACACCCACGTCTACTACTTCGCCGCCTCCGGCGTCTACTCCCAGTGGGCGCAGGGCGCCATCTGCGGCCAGGCCAGCGTTTTGGGGGGTGACGGCAAGTTCCCCGTCTTCGTCGGCGAGTGGGCCCTCCAGACCCTGTACAGCAACACCTTCGCCAACCGCCGCACCCTGTTCGAGACCCAGCGCTACGCCTGGTCGTACTATGTCCAGGGCGGCAGTTTCTGGAATATCAAGCACAAGTCCACCGCCAAGGTTGATGGGCAGGGCACCCAGCAGGATTACTGGAGTTATGAGCTGCTGTTGGATGAGGGGGTCATCGGGCCGATTAAGAGCAATGCCACTTATTGCTAGATGGTTGGGGCTTGTGGGGAGGATTTGAGGTAGTTGTTTGAGAGGACTGAAGGGAGAGGATATATTAATATACTAGATTAATGAGACTAATGCCATTATGACTTGGCTAGAAATGTGTACACGGAGTAAACTGTGTAGAGAGAGATCAATGTGCGCACCAGACGAAACTACAAATACACACTGCGAATCAACTGAAGAGCATAATAACCACGACCAGGTACTAAAGGGTTCATTAGAACCTGACCAGTAAGGTGTAGAGAGCCAATCTATGCAACAGAAATTCGTAACTGAATCACACTGCAAATCAACATCAACCTCAAAAGGTAATGTCTACCGTTGAGAACTATAAGGCCAATGGATAAGAGAAGAGACAGAACAAGACTATGGCTCAAAATTGCTAAACACAAGCTACAATACATGATCAAGTAGAATGGTACGTCACAGACTTTTTCCACATCCGAAACCTTTCAAGCATCACATCATACATCGTAAATCCTGTTACCTGTCGTCGCAGCAAATACTAATAAATCATTACGATTGCGGACCAGCCTACAACACCGCCGCACAGCCGCACTCCCTCTGCGAAACCATTCAATAAGGAAACTCGTTGCAGACAATCTGTTTGTTTTTCTGTTGCGCCATTCAAGAATTAGCGCAACTGGGCCGTTTTCACTGCCACTACCTCGTCGAGAGAGGGGGGGGGGGGGAAAGAGAAGAGACTTACATCGAGAGGGAAGTTACTCTTGCACTTGTACTTGCCAGGGAGGCACGTGCTGGTTTGCACGCAGTCAATTCCCACCCCGGCAACCTTGATCCAGAGAATGACCCAGTCCTTAGTATCGATCTTGTTTTTGCAGCAGTAGTCCTTGTAGTAACCGAACTGCCGTTCTTCGAGGTCCCGCTCCTCGAAGTCTTCGACGTCTGGGTTGGGGGTCGGTGAGGTGAACCCCATGCTGGCGAGGGCGAGCACGCCGAAGATGGTCTTGAGCTGCATGTTGTACTATCGTAGAGCGATGAAAGTTGGTTTGTCAAATGTAGTGAGTTGCGGTTTAATCTTGGACTGATTCTTCAAGCTTGATGAGCCACAAACGATCTGAGAGATTCAGACCCTTCTTATACACAGTTGTACACAACCAACAACAAAAGAGGGAGTCCATCACCATCTATCATGCTCCTCTCAATACGAACTGATATCCAGCCCAAGCCCATGGGAACCAAACCCCAAGAGCAAGAAAAATCTGGCAAGTCATCTGCTCACCCTGCACCCATGGCCCGACTCTTCTTCTTCTACTAGTAGCTCCTATCGATTACATACAGGGGCCACCCACAAATGCAGATCTACACGAATACCATCGTGGGTGGACAGGGTACCGAAATCGTGGTAGAGGGAACTCAAATACGAGCCCCGTCGATCCATCGGTTCCTCCACCCGAGGGATCGGGCTGGCAAGCGCGTCGCCGTCATTCAAGATGTGAACCACGGTTTGGATTACGAACGGTCGTCTTTGGACCTGGTCATACTGCAGGTGGTTTGTTTGTTTGGCTGCTCTAGATCATGGTTGTGCAGCTTCAACCGAACTATGAGTTTGCGATGCGTGCGAGTGGAGGAGGTTTAATGGCTGCGGTGGGGTGGGGGGGTGTCACTGCGGCGGATCTCACTCCCGCATAACCGTTCTTCCGGTCATTTCGTATGTTCATTTTGAGCTTGAGTTGGGTTGGGTTGGGTGGTGATGGTTAGACTTTTCTCTCTGTCGCGTGGTTTCTTGCGGGATGTTGTATCTTTGCTAAGCTGTGTTTTGCGTCGGGTGGCGAATGAGGACTACGTTGTGCAGTATCAGCAAGTACTTGCGAACTCAACTCCAGAAAGAATAGTCCAATGGACGATTCATATCCACACTGGAATGACTACTCCTGGCTAAGAATCCGGCGCCGTACCAAGCCCAATCCGAGGGATTTGTGTTGAGCATCATACTTCGCACCGCCCGCGAGGTTCCCCAAGATCAACGAGGAATCAATCATAGAGGCCAGTCCCTTTCCAAGGTTTAGCCCCATATTCCCCCCCGCTCAGCCTACGGCAGATGAATCCATCGACTGGGCGGATCTGAGTCCCACTAGTAGGTTCGAGATACGATCCCATCCGGCAGCAGCCCTATCTCCGCGCTCCTCCCTGCTCCTCAAGCTAACCGTTGCTTCACTGGCTACGAGAACGAGGTCTACTCGTCAGAGGAATCTAAATCCTCAGCCATAATAGCATTTAGGTTCTTGAAGCAGCTGGGTTCATGGTTGGAATTGGCTTCTACGGGGTTGTGGATGAAGGGTTCTATTTGCTAGTGGCGGCAGGGTAAGGGCCATGCATGGCATGCTCCTTGATCCTGAATATTTGGCATGGGGTTCTACGGGGTGGGGGGCCGGGAGATCACCGTGCAGAAGAGCTGCTGGTGCCTAAGGTGGCTTTTCACGCGCAGAAGCTGTGGGGTACTCTGTGCGAGCACACCCGGGTCTTGATTGGATATTGAATGCTGCAGGGTCAAGGGTGGAAAGGATCGACTATAGATTATGAGGAAGACTTGCTTGGATGAGATGCTATGCGTATCTCTTCTTGCGAGACATTCTTGTAGTACTCATGATAGTGGCATTCTTGCTACCTGACACCAGGTCTATCGCACAAACCATACCAAACATGTGAACTCCTGCTACCCTATTACCGCACTGAAAACCCCCAGAGTGAAAGCACGATGGAGGCCAACGTGGCGCTGGCCCCACATCTCCCTCAGGTATCGCTCCGCACAGCGGTTGAACTCCCGTCCTCGGGCATCGATCAGGGCCGGTTTCACGCTCCAGCTGCGGACGCGCCGCTTGCAGTCACAGTCCTGGCAGCCGAGGTCGGGGACATTCTTCCACGCTTTCCAGTAATTATCCAGCGGGTCGGAGAAATGGCACTTCCTGACGGCTCCGCAATCCGCACCTTTCACGTCCAGCTCACAGCATTCGTTCTGCGGATCCAGGAACAACTTCGCCAGGGACCGCGGAGGTTGCTTCAGGATGAACCACGAGATGACGCTGTATTCGTTCCGTGCGTCCCGGTGCCAGTCCTTCGGGCCGTGGCGGAGGAGCATGCGTTCCATCAGCTCCCGCAACATCCGCAGCGCCGCGTGGAAGTCGATCTCGGTCTGCTCGTCGAGCCAGCCGCGGAATTCAAGTCGGCGTCTGCCCACGTCGGCTTCCACATAGCCCCATTTCAACACGGTGTACACATGGTTGGTGTATTCTTCGAAGGTCATCATCTTTCGTCTCTGCGGCGGAAGCTCGTCGTACTCGTCCAGCATCTTGCCCAGAACAAACAGCCGCCCGCTGACCACTGGCGCCAGGGGTTTCTTCGGCGGCATGAGCCTCTCCGTATCCCGCGCAATATCGGCCATATGAAACAGAACGTGTAAGCCCCGTTCCAGCCGTTGCGCCAGCCGTAATTCTGCCTCGAAATTCATCTCCGTGCTGTCTTCCTCGCAGAAGGGGCCCCATACGGAGGGCACAAGATGTCGCGATAAGTCTCGGGCGATGTTATGTCGATGGAGAAACCGGACCAGAGTGTGAATCGTCAACGGGGTCTGCTCCCCAGTCCACGGGCTCATGGTGAGGATGGGATCGAAGGCGTCAATGCCGTGGCATCGCATAAACCAGGTACAGATATGCGGCTCGAGGATCTTGATGGTCTCATAGGTGGCCTTATTCAGCCGACAGAGGCTCAGTATCGTGTTCACCTCGCCGCTGATAATGATGTGAAAGAGGACATCGGCTACAAAGCCGAAGGGAAGAGGTGCTCCCCGCCGCAGAGATGGGGATAACATCTGTTTGACGAGGCGAATCAGCGTGGGGGATCTCCCTCGCACCTGCGGAGTAGGTGCTTGGCTGCGTATGGTCTTTCGGCGGAAGATCATCCCGACTTACCGTAGCAACTGCTTGCTGCTAACCTGGACCATCCAAGCCTTTCCGAATCTAGGCGAGAGGGAGTGCCATTGAGTTCTTTATAAAAGACTACGCAGGGTCGTCGTGGGGGGAAAGAGGCTGTTTGCCCAGGCTGTAAGGGGGGTTAATTGCCGTTTGGCGGATAACAAAGCGTCGACGGTGTGACGCGTTGGCAGATTCTCAGTCGTGTGCTTGGCTGCAGCGATGCATCCGGAAAAGGCTGAGTAGGCAGGGTGCAGGATGCAATCGCCGAACGACCGGAAGCTGACTGGTCAACTTGGAAACTTATATAATACGTGGTCCCATGTCCGGTGCGGTCATCACAGGAGCGATAGCGAGGACCAGAAGTAACGATCGACCACGTTTCAGGCGAACAAGGAGAAGGGGCTGCCAGCACGGTCTAACGGTCGTCATGTTGGTATTGCTTGTCGACTCTAAGACACACGTAGCACAATAGTCGGTTCCCAACTAGTTAGTGTCTGTTCTGATGTAATAGCATGACACGCCTGGGGAACTAATCGAGCCCGTCTGATCATGGGATCGGCGGTGTCGCTGATAGTGGCTTCAATAGCGCCAGGGGAACAGAGGGGGGACGATCCGACATCGTCACGCGAGAAATTCTGTCACGGATCAAGGAGTCTGCGACCATCTCGACTCTTGCAAGACAAGCTTGTAGCGTCAGCGATAGTTTGGTGAATGAACGAACGAATGAATGAACAGGTGGGTGGATGAAATGGATGAATTGCCGTGGGAGGGGAGCATCTCCAATCTCCACACTACGGAGTTAGCGACGATTGTTTATCGGTGGAGCCGGCCGCGGCTAAACCCAATCCGCTCAAACCTCCTCCCCCGCCCTACGTTTCTTTCCCTCTGCTCTCTATCGGTCGGCCACGAAAAATTTCTGGGACGATAACAGATTGTCAGCTTCGCAACAACAACCACAACAACAACCTTCCCACCTCCCTCCCTCCCTCCCTCTCTCCTTCGACGCCCAACGTTGGTTTTCGAGTCAAGTCACAATCTTACTCGATTGGACTCTCTCCAACCAACAAACTTCGTCAGAGTCTGCCGACCTCCGTCTGATGCCATTCCGCATATCGATCCTAGTCGCGCTTAACGCATGATTTCCTCCAAGCCCCTCCCACTCGCCGACGAGTGGACCGATCCGGATGCCTACGTTGAGGCCTTGATTTCCTTCGCTACCAACTCTGACATCTTTAGGCACCTCTGCGGCGGAGTGCATATCCTTGACTTCCTAACACGAGAGCCGGACCTTTATACCTCCCTGCTACCGGAAAACTGGCGGGCCTTCTTCGATCAGCATGATGTCCAGGACATTCTAGACTTGCTCCTTCGCGACGATCTACAGCCCCTCTTCGACCAACATGCCGGAACGGGCAGCGAACAGGGTGCGGACGCAAGAGGGTGGCGAGGCGGTGGTCTGCCCCCGCTGGATTTCCTGGAGTACATCCACCAGATCCGGCGCCTGAGTCTGGGACGGGACTTTACTCCGTCTCAGCCCGGGACCCCTGTGATCCCGAGGCATATTGCAGTAGGGATGAACGTCAAGAAGTACCACGAGGTGGCGCACTTCTCCAAATACGTGGATAAGCTGTGCACTACGGTCGACGAACAGCGGGGCGACGCGATCACACATATCGTGGACTTTGGGTCAGGCCAGAGCTATCTGGGCCGCACCCTTGCCTCTGCACCGTACCACCGACACATCGTGGCCATCGAGCGGAAGCATCAGTTCATCAGTGGTGCGCAGGGCATGGATGTGCATGCTCGGCTGAAGGAGAAGAAAAAGGTCAACATGTACAACAAGAAGGCTGCCAAATGCAAGGTGTGCGAGGAACCTGAGTCGCCTGCAGCAGTGGAGTCGCGTCTCAATGCAGGGGAGTCCAACATTGCAGAGCAGAGGCCTCGAGAGGAGGACGCAACGACAGCCGCTGCCAACGGGGAGGAAGAGGACCTGGCCATGATCAACGTCTTCCGTGACGTCAGTCTTGCGCCCGGCGAGATCGGCTTCAAGCCTCATCGGAACGCGCCCAAGGCGGCCGTGGAAGAAGAGGATGATCCCAACAAGCCGAGAGGCACGATGGACTATATCGAGCATGAGATCAAGGACGGTTATCTGGAGCCGATCATCAAAGATGTGATCGAGGCTCCTCTGCCTGCCGTCGAAACAAACGGCAATACCGCGGACGACAGTGCGGTTGCGACCAATGGCACCCAGGCGGATCAGAAGTCGGTGGACGCCAAGGTCATGGTCATCTCCCTCCACTCTTGTGGCAACCTACTGCATCACGGTGTCCGCTCTTTGACCCTGAACCCGTCGGTCAAAGCCATTGCTATGATCGGCTGCTGCTACAATTTAGTTACAGAGAGGTTAGGCCCGGCCACGTACAAGCTTCCTATCCTCCGGTCCATGCATCCCCGCCTGACGCAGGATGCCGTCGCGTACGATCCCCATGGATTCCCCATGTCAAAGCGCTTCGAAGATTACGAACATGAGAGCGGAACAGGTGTCAAGTTGAACATTACAGCACGGTCTATGTCCCTGCAGGCTCCTTACAATTGGGGCCGGAAAGATAGCGAGGACTTTTTCACGAGACACTTCTACCGAAGTCTTCTCCAGCGTGTTCTGGTGGATCGCGGAGTCGTCGCAAAACCCAAGATCCCTGACGACCTCTACAGCGAATCAGATGCACCCGAGGATGCAGGGAACCCCTTGATCGTGGGCTCCCTGCGCAAGTCCGCTTTTGTCTCCTTCCCCGCCTATGCTACCGCTGCAGTGGCCAAGCTTTCCCGTGATGCACACTTTGGGGAAAAGGTGAAAGCTGGGATGGGTGACCTCACTGAAGAGGATTTGAACCGCTATGTGCAAGAGTACTGGTACGCGAAGAAGAATCTCAGCGTGGTATGGAGCCTGATGGCTTTCAGTGCTGCCTTGGTCGAGGCCATCATCGTGGTGGACCGGTGGCAGTTTCTGCGAGAGCACGACTCCGTCAAGGACTGCTGGGTTGAACCTGTTTTCGACTACCACGAGAGTCCCCGCAACCTGGCCGTCATTGGAATCAAGAAGTGAAGGGCAACTTCCCTCATGTGACAGGTCTTTCCACCGAATGCCTGAGGCCTCCGAACCGAGCTGCAGGTGTCAAAAAGCAAGGAGTTGGGCAGCAGCAGCAGCAGCCTCTCTGGTTCCGAGACATTTGCCATCCGGCAGATCGGGCGCTTTATCTCCCGCCTGAATCAATGTTCTGGCAACCTACGACTGGCCTGATCTAGGCCGTGATGTGCACACGCAACTCTTACGAATGGAGACCATGCTGGGGGCTTCTCCACGTAGATATGATGTGACCACGACCAATAGACGATAGACGATGAACAAAAGGGAAAAAGGTTAGCATAGAGGTATATGTGTAGATAGATGGCGCGACCTATTCACCGACAGCTAGTGTAGAAAGCGCTGCTGATCGGTCTAGATTTTTCATCGATTTAACCGCTTCGCATGGTGCTTTCTCCTCGTTTGAGTAATGTTAATTATGATGCCTAGTTTCCTAGGCAGTCACAAATTTCTATTGAGTATACACGGGACAATTGTGTGGGGCTCAGGGTTAAACAGTAGGTAATCCACTGATCAGGGTCGAAGGAAGCCTTGGGAAGGGCAAAGGCGAGGAAATTTAAATCCAGGACAAAGTCGAGACCCATTAATTTTTTTTGCACCCAAGGCACACATACTCAGGGACTATCTTTTAGTGGGCGGCACCCGCGGGTTCCGAAACAGTTGTATGTCATCTCCTTCCCGTTGCCAATTCCCCCATTACAGCAACCTGCAATCTGCCCCCCATCCCAATCAGGCACGCTATCGACATTCCTCCTCCATTCATTCTTCAAAAAAAATATGGACCATCTGGAGGCCGAGGGCCCCGAGAGCGATGGGAAGGAGCCACTTGGCAGACGTGCAGTAAGTCAATCCGTCGATGCTGCGGCGTGCTACAAGGTCACATGCTTACTACTTACTTGCCTACCTGCAGTGTGACCAATGTCGTTTGCGAAAGGTACGAGACCAACTGTCTAGCTATAACTCTATGCAGCTGTGCTTGCCTGATTTCCTTGCATCAATTCACTGACTTGCGTGTCTGTCTGTGTCTGTCTTCTCATCAGATACGCTGCGATAAGCGATCCCCGTGCTCCAACTGTCGCAGTTCACAGATTATCTGCCGATCGACCGGGGCAGGCCAGAAGCCTCAAGAGCCGCGGAAGCGGGTCTTGATCTCCAGTCAATAGTATGTGTGCGGCCATCCCCGGGGTATGCTTTTCAATCTGATCTCATCTGTGCCCCGCATCCAGTGAAAGGAAGATCGATCTGATCGAGGAGCGCCTGGGGAGCATTGAGGACCTGCTCCACGAACTTCGGTCGAACACGGCAACGGCCAGCAGCGTCCCGGAGCCATACTTCCACTCCACCCCGATATCCAGCCGAATGAGCCCCTCAGTCCCCGGCCATGCGTCGAACGGTCCTGCCCCCGTGGAGGACCCCGAGGCGACTCCCGCCTTCGAGGGCAACTCGTCTCTCGCCGCGCACTCCGCCTACGCCAGCGAGTTCCTGGAGACGGCCGTCTCGCGCAGCGCGCTGCAGGTGTCGTCGCCGACGATCCAGGCGGCGCTTTCGACCCTGAAGCAGATGGTCAGCATGCAGGACCATCAGGCACACTCGCCTGCCCGCGAGATCCGTTTCCCGAACCAGAAGAGCATCCTGGGGTCCGGGATCCGAGGCCTGGCCATGCCGCCCGTGCAGGTGGTCTTGTCGCTTCTCCGGAAGTTCAAAGGTACCAGTCCATCCCTGCAACGGTAGTATCTACCCTCATCACTCATCTCCAGCGCTAGAGAAACCCAACAGCCTGCAGGGGGTCTGTCCGTTCCTCACGTGCGAGCGACTCATCGAGAAATGTCGCGAGGTCTATTTCGCCACCGATGAATTCTCGGACGCGGCGTTCATCATCGTCCATGGAGGTCTCTATTACGTGATCAGTGACTGCATCTTCTCCGTCGAGGACCCCAAAACGCGAGAAGAGTACCAACGGTATCTCCGGCTCTGTCAAGCCAATATCGAAACGGCACTGGCCAACCTGAGTATCTGTATGCCGGCCAGAGCGGAATATATCGAAGCTCTTGCATTAGGGGTAAGGGAATTTCTAGACGGGGGCTCTTTTGACAATCTGTTGCGGATACTAACGGCTGTCTACGTAGGCTCTCTATGCGATCGAGATGTCGAAGCCGTCGTTCGCTCTGACGCTGACCTCTACGGCAGCCCGACTATGTCAGACTTTAGGGTACCATCGAGCTTCATCAACAAATCCCGGCAGTGACACTTTCATAGGACGCCAGTTATTCTGGACAGTTTATGCCCTCGACAAAGCGATATCTCTACGCCTTGGGCGGGCGTCAACAATCCAAGACTACGATATCACCATGCCGGGGCCGAACGACGTCACTGGAGCAGAAGAGCCCTGGGATAGCATTTTTAAGATATGGCTCAGATTCGCCACCATACAAGGCCAAGTGTACGAGCGATTATACAGCCCCGCGGCATTGTCGCAGTCGGAGAACGAGAGAGCCGAGCATGCCCGTCGGCTCGCTGCCCAAGTCATGGAGACTATTGAGGCACCCTTCGATGTATGTGTTTGATCATTTGGGCGGGACCAATGCAGAAGGCTAATGTTCACCAGCACATCCTGAACACTCAGAAGATGTCCCACATGGATAAGATCATCTTGCGGTCGGACAAGATCGCCCGAAAATCGGTGATGACTCTGATATATCGGGCGATCCCCCCGTCGCGAGACTCGCACAGCACATTCGTCAAAGAATGCATCACTACGGCTCGGGAGGCACTTGAACTACTGAAAGAGACTATGATCGAGGTCAAGGGGATGACTGAGAATTTCAAGGCATCTTATCTCCACTGGTACGTTTGTTTCGAGCAAGGTGATTTTGTGTAGATGCTAATAGAGTTCCTGCAGGACAGTTCTCTACGCCCCCTTCGTGCCTTTTGTGGTGTTATTCTGCCACACCATAGCGACATCATCGTGGGAGGATCTGACCCGCCTGGAGGAGTTTGTGCTTTGCGTGCAGCCGAACTGTTTTCTTTCCGAGGCCATCGCCAAGCTATACCGCCTCTGTCAGGTGCTCAGTAATGTCGCGAGGCTGTACATTGAGGCCAAAGCACAGGCGCAGGCACGAGAAGATCAGAATCTCGTGTCTGTTGGGCAGGAATTCGATACCTATCTAAGTGCGCTCGGTCTTGCACCTGCATCGAATCAAGACTGCGGGGCCGTGTGGACGTCGGCGCCTTCCACGGCGGGCGCTGGGGCTGTACCCGGGGTCATGAGGTCGGGGAATGAGGGTCCCTACACGGAAGCTCCTATGCCACAGACTGATCAACTGGGGAATTGGTTTTCAGGCAATCAGCATATGATGGGGCTACTGGAAGAGGATATCTCTGTTTTTGATCCTTCGTGGACAGGATGAACAATCTTATTGGTTTGCACGACAATGTTCGCCTGGGTAGTGGTCGGCTCGATATTGAGCACTGGTATTTCACCAAACTCGCTAACAATTCGAGCGCGCGGTCGACTCACTCCAGCTTCTACCGGGTGCCCAGAGCCCAGTCCCCGCGTCGTCGGCAAACCTCAAATACACTTCCCTCCGTCGATGATCATTTCCGCCCCATTGACGAAGCTCCCCTCGTCACTCGCCAGATACAAGCACATATTAGCGACGTCATCCACCTCCGTCAGCCGGCCCAAGGGCACATTCCCGATGAATTTCTCCCGGTTCTCGGGCGTATCCTCCATGCCGGTGAACAAGGAGAACAATCCCGTTCCCGACAGCAACGGCGAGACGGTGTTGACCCGGATATTGTGCGGACCATACTCAGCCGCGAGACCTTTGGTTGCCTGGCGTCGTTTCATCAGCAGCATAAGCATGTCTTCAGAGCATACACCACTACCAATAGACGCCACCCGACCCAAACAAACGGGGTTGTGACACTCACATTCGAAACCGCCCCCTTCGACGCATTATACCACACCAACCCCGGCCGCGGCCTCGTCGCCCCCGTTGACGAGATATTGATCATCGACCCGCCGCCCCCTTGCTCCAGCAGCCGCGTCACAAACACCTGACTCCCGAGAAAGATACTCTTCACGTTCACGGTGAACACCCGCTCCCACTCCGCCTCCGTGACCTCGACCGTTGGCTGCATTTACGGTCAAGTCAGCCTGACTCCGTCCCTTCCCAACCATCCATCGAAGGGAGTACCTTATTCTGATACGTCGTCCCCGCATTATTGACCAAGATATCCACGCGCCCGAACTTTTCGACTGTTACCGCCACCACCCGCGCCCAGTCCGCCGCGACCGTGACGTCGACCCGCTCGAAATGCAGCGCCGCCGCGTCCGTGGCCGCCAGCTCCGCCCCGGCGGCGGCGTTGATGTCCGCGATGATCACCTTGGCGCCTTCTTGGCTGAAGCGGCGCACGATGGCGGCGCCGAAGCCGGAGCTTCCTCCTTTGGGTTGGTTAATAAAGTTGAGGTTGGGGGTGGAGAGTTTGAGGTTTGGGTGTTGGATGTTGGAGGGGGGCTGGGGTGAAGAGGGAATGGATAAAGGGTAAGGGGGCGAACGAACCGGTCACGATGGCGACTTTGCCGGCTAGGCGTGGCATTTTCTTTTTGGGTTTGTTGAAGAATGGATAAGGTAGGCGGGGGTTGTGTTGTGGGGTGGAAGGATTGTTGGTCCTGGTCCTGGTCCTGGTCCTGGTTTTTGGTCGTGGTCTTGGTCAGTCCGGTCTGAGAGAGGGGTTTTTGATGGATGGGTATGGGTTGTAGAAACTGTGTCAAGAATTTGATCGTGTATCCCCTATCCCTTGTATTGCTTTTGTGGGTTTGGAAGTGAAAATGGGAGTGATGGGTGAAGTCAAGCGACGAGTGTCTTCTTATATGGAGAATGAAGGAGAGCGAAAAGGTGGGTAGATGCTGGGTAATTGTAGCTGGAGCGGAGAATGGGAGGATGGATGACCGACAGCTTGTCAGCTCTAACTATAGGCTACTTACCCCGCCTTACAGGTGGGACAGCACGGTGGATCGGGGTTCGGTCCGGGGGGGAGGGGTGAGAAGGTGGAGGTGAAGGTGGGGTAAGAGAGGGGCTGATAGATCCCTTGGTTTGGGTGACGTGACTCCTCGGATACTCGGGTGCTCAATATTCAGTTGTTGGTTGTAGATCTGAAGGTGTGGTCGAGATGCGATTGAGATGGGATGACGGGGAAAGGTGGGGGAGTTTGAAGTTAAGGAGATAGGTACTATACTTGCGATACATTATTTTGTATGCTATCAGAGAAATGGAAGGAGGGCGCTCGATGCACCGTCGATGATCAATATGTCGAGGTGATAGATTAATCAAGTATATGATTACAGTAGAATCGAATATATGCAGAGTTCCAAGGGTAAAACCAAAGCAAGAGAATCATGAATACAGGGAAGAATATGAGAGAAGTACAGTACATCCAAAAATCAACCCTCAGCGAACCTGATGGCCCGCTCCTTCCGCAGCGTCGGCTCGTCTTCCTCCCGCTCGCCCACGCCACGGGTCTTCGCCGTCGCGTCCAGACACCGGATCATGCTCTCGCAGAGCCGATGCAGCACCCACTCCGGCTCGGTCTGGCTGGCCAGCATGGGGCTCGTCTCGCCGATCCAGTCCCAGTTCAGCACGCCGTACTCGTCCTCGTGCAGCTCGACGCTCGACGTCGGGTCCGTCGCCCGGATCAGCCGCGTGAACTCGACCCATTCCTCGTACGTGTACTGCTTCGGCTCCTCGTTCAGGGCGTCCCGCGTCGTGCGCTGGATCGCGAGCGCCAGCTTTTGCGCTAGTTGGATGTTGGAGACCGGGCCTTCTTCGGCAGGGCCCGGTTCTTTCGCGAGCTGCTCAATGGGCTTTGCCTCCGGCTTGCTGCCGCCGCCGCCGTCCTGAGGGCTAGTGCTCGGGGACAGGTGGTTGGACCTCTTGGCGCCGCTCTCCGGGTCCCGGTCCCCGTCGGCGGCGGCGGGCCCGATGGGGAAGCCCTCGGCGACGCGCTTGTGCTCTTCGCGGTGCTTGAGCGCCGTGTATAGCGGCGGGATCTTGCGGACGAACTTCGCGTAGCGGCCGGATTGGGGGAGCACAGTCCAGTCGGCCGCGACGTCGGTGGCGTGCTTGAAGCCCGCGACGATGGTGTCGCTCATCTCGGAGATGAGGGTGGTCATGGTGGGCACGGCGACGAGGGACCAGACGATGAAGAAGGGTTTGGCGGCGTTGGTCGACGGGGTGATGTCGCCGTACCCGATCGTCAGCAGCGAGCAGAAGCCGAAGTAGAGCGCTTGGAAGTACGTGATGTTCTCCATCTGCCAGAAGGCTACCGCGCCAATCGTCCAGACAATGCCGAACATGATCAAGCTCAGGACCAGGTTGTACCATCGCCGGAAGAAGAGCGTTTCCCGCTGGATGGCCCGCATCGCGTCGAAGCGGTCTTTCTCCTCCTTCATGACCACCTGCTTCGGGCGGCCCATCAGAGCGAACGCATCGATCGTGCTCCGGACGGGTCGGCCGGAGTGCCGGGGCTTGTATTCGAGCTGGGAGGCCGCTCCGGGCTCGATGGACACGGAGCGGCTGACGGTTGCTTGGCGCTTGCGTTCCACGTGCTTGCGTATCACCTGTTTGTACTGGATGTCGTGCGCGAACTGCAGGACACTGTTGACCACGAGACCCAGGATGATCATGCCGATGACCGCGTACGGAAAGACGAGACCCCTTGCCACAGGGGTCGTGGGCGTGATGTCGCCATAGCCCAGCGTGAGGATGGTGACATCCGAGAAGTAGAGCGCATCTGCGAAGGAGATGCCGATCACATTGCTGAAAATCGCGGCCCCGATTATGAGCCAGACCACGAAGGCAGTCGTCTGCAGAATGAGCGTGCGCTGGCCGTCAGTCAATGCGAAATACTGCGGATAGTGTCCGAGAACATATCCGAGCATGTTAATCAGCAGTATCACGCCGAGAATGAAGTAGAGCACTGCGGCAATCACTGCACTCCAGTATGCCTGCGAGTACGTCTCATTGGGAGGTACGGGAGGAGAATAGACATGCATTGCCGATGTGATACCGATCAAGATGGAGGTTGAAAGGAACCAGAGGATGATCGATACGGGCAACGCAAGGATGTACCGCACCGTCCGGGTGAAGTTGAACAGTAGGAACAAGTTACCCACCAAGCCGCATGCAAGGGATGTCGCATTGAGAGCAATGCACCTGGTCAGGTTAGGGCTCAATGCTTTAACGCAGAGGCTATGGATGACTTACCATCGTGGGTCTCCCACGGACTTCTGGATGGGTTGCCCGAACGAATCGGTCTGGGTCAGAACCGTCACCTTCCATGATGAAACTAGCGCCACAATGGACATGACATTTGCCAGGGGAGCTGTTGTGGCAGCAATGAGCGGGATTGCCGTCGATGCTATCCACCAGTTTTGTGGTTCATCGTCGTCGGCAGGTCTCGGATGGAATGGGCTTCGAAGTTTCTCTCCAAGCGACCTCTTCTGTGGAGTGTGCGGGCTTGACGAGCTATCTGGCATGGTTGCTTTGTCTCTGGGAGTAAGCGGGCCACGGCCGCGTTCTGGCTAGGAGCGACTCCAGGAGAGTCCTATGGAATCAAAAAAGAGGTTTCATGGCGATACAATCAATGATAAATTCAAGGGATAATGAATGGCACTTCCTTCTCATGGTCATATACACAGATGCAGATCTCGAAGGCAATGAATGGAGCCAGGACAGAGACACATCAGGATCTCATTGGTTGTGGAGGAGTGGAAGTGAATTCCTTGTTTTGACTTGGCAACGCGGGATGGGATGACGCTGAGCCGGAGCTCCCGTGACCCACCAACCCTGACAGCGTGCCCTAGCACTCACCTTCTTTGGGACATGATGTCATTCCTAGCGTACCCTGCTCCAGGAGTTAATGTTTGTATACTTTTGTGGTGGCTGTGGTATACAGCAAGAACTTACATGATATTGTGTCTATTCACAAATAAGAGGCTGAAGATAGTTGGTGCGCGGGTCCTGCGTCAGGTAAGATGTTTGGTTTGAGGCACTATAGAACTTCACATGATGGGTATCGTTGAAGACACTATGATGAGAAACAAAATCAGGTTCCATCGCTATAGACAAATCTGGAGAGAGATTCAGGCAATATTCTTAAAGAGCCAAAATGAGATTTAAAGATAAAACTAACCAATTGTTACAAGCAAGAGCTACAAGTAACCACAATCTCGTGCAGTCTGACAAATTCCATACTCATGGAAGCTCCTCGGCCGAGCCGGCCGAGCCACCGGGATTGCCCCAGCCCATTCGCAACATCTGGTTGGCCATGAGCCAGTTGCGCGTGCGGATATGGTAATTCAGAGGCTCGTCCAGGATCAGGCGCTGCCAGCGGCCGGTCTGAATGATCCACTGGTCGAACCCCGCCGCCTGGAGCTGTGGCCGCGCCAGCAGCGCCATGGCAATCTGTCGGTCCCAGGCATGCGTGAGGAAGTTGTTGTGTTGAAGGTTGTCCAACGGGTACGCGAGCTCTGGGTACTGGTCGTCGTTGAGCCCCAGATTCAAGGGGAACCCGCAGTTGATCAGCGCCAGGGCGAGCTCCATGTGCCCAAGCATCAAGGCGACTTCGATCGCCGACCTACCAGATGCTGTCACGATCACCGAGTTTAGCACCTCCGGCAAGGCGGCGACAACGGCCGGGACCAGCTCGGGCATCAGATCGCATTGGAGCAGCTGATACGCGATGGCCTCATCGCGGGGGTATGTGCCGTTGTCGTACGCTTGTCGAAGCAGGTGGATGTAGTTCGGCATCCCGCACAGGTAGGGCAGGGCCCCGGGCCCGGCGTTTGTGGTGTAGCGTGCCCCTTCGGAGAGAAGCAGTCTCACCATAGCGTCCCGCGCAGGTGTCCGGATTCCATAGCCCAGAGGCTGCCCGAATTCTTCGTGGCTGAGCTCAGGGCACACTGCGAAGTCCAGCGCCGTGTTGCGATTGACCCGCGCAGTGGCGAAGATGTCGGCCCCGCATTGCAGCAGCAGCCGGGCCACGGGGACCTGGGAGTAGAAGGCGGCGATGTGCAGCAACGGTCTAGCACTGAGGTCGTAGAGGTTAGCATCAAGCCCTGCGTCGTCCAGACAGAACCGGACCGCGTCGTACCGGCCCTGGGCCACCAGGCGAGCGAGGGGCTGGCTTACCGGGTTCTCATGCCATAGATACCGACTGCTCCGCCTGTTTCCATGTTGGTTGGCGACGATCATCGCGTCGTAGGTCACCTGTGTAGGAATGACCGTCTCCCGGCAGCGCGCGACAACCTCCTCCTGGACCAGGTCGCGGAATGCTTTGCAGGTGCGCCGGAGCGTGAGGAGCGTGTCTGTGTCCGCGTACAGGGTGATCCGCACGGCGATCTCTGGGGGGAGCGCTGCCAGCCCGATGTTGAGCTTTCTGAACCACCGCAGCAGCGTATTCCTGAGGCGTCGACCGTGGTGTCGTTCGAAAAACTCGAGGATCTTCTGACGTTTTCCGGCCATCGTGGCTTGTGGATCAGCGCTGGTGCGGTAGAGTGGTGTTGGGCTTTCATGACGGCGAGACGTAGACCCTTGGGGTCTTTTATATAGATGCACGTCTCCGTCTCTTGTTGAAGGGGTAGCCGACATGGAGGTACTTTTCGACAAAGTTGCCGGTAACAAAAGCAGGGAAGTAGTATACTGCTATCTCTTCATGTAAATTGCTGCTTCGTTCGTCTCCGGTCTTTGATATCTCCGCCAGGCAAGGTGAAGAAAAGATCGATGCACAAGCACCTGACATTGGCTGATACATGTGTCTCAGGTAGGCTTAGAGCAAACAACAGAGTATAAAGTCTGGGATTGAAGACTTTCAAAGTCATCGGGCTGACGATGTAGATGGACGAGAAAAGATTGATCAGACTATGAGATGATTCAGGCGGTCTCATCAGGTGACCTGGAAACTCCAGCGATTGTCTTATGCAACAGACCACTTCATCATGACATCTGGTGACGACAGTATTGGGAACAAGAAGAAATCTCATAGAAGCACTACACACCTTACTACGCCATGGCAAATGACTTCACATTGCTATGGTCGGTAAATGCAGATTTAGAGACAGAGAAAGAATATTACAGTGATAGGTCGGGATATCTGATGAAGTGATACAGTAAAATTGTCTTTCTACAGCAGTTGTAGTCTTGGCAAGGAGAAAACGCCAGACATAAAACCACCCCTGCAGCTTCAAGGACCAGGGCCTGCCTTAAGTAGAGCTCGGGCCTCGTCCCAGTTTTTGGCTACCAGAGCCTCCCGGAGTGGGCTTCTAAGAATCAAGCCCGGGTCCCTCCATGTCTCAAAGCCATCTTGCTGCAGCTCAGGCCGCTCAAGCAGCAGCTCAGCAAGCGAAGCCCACTTCCGCCAGACGTTCCGGGGTAAGACTTCCGAGCCATAGAATCTAGGATTCGGTTCCAGTTTACCAAGAACAAACGCCAACTCAGGGTATTTTCTGTCCAAATAATAACTGAGCTTGAGGCGGAATCCCTGTCGTATCATGTACGAGGCGAATTTGTGGGATGAGCGTTTACAGAACAAGTTTTGTCCAAGTGCATCCAGGATCAGTCCGAGCCCGGGCATCGACAGCACCTCCGGGATTTCTTGCACTATGACATCCAAAATGTTCACCGAGAGCTTCTGAATACAGCGTGAAATATGTTTGCGCAGACCGTACCAGTTTATAGTGCTGCCATTCTTGTAGAGGCCATTTCGGATTGCCCGTCTGAGAAGGTCCGGTCCGCCCGGGCGCTGGACCAGATAGGTAAAGAACTCGGCTGAGGAAAACACTGCGCCCTTCTCGAGCAAAAGCTGGACGATCCTTTGATCCCCTCCCACGATGGCCGGAGAGGGATCGTCGGTGATTCGTGAACTTATGACCGTCCTGAGGGCTGGATAATCGGCTGACAGATACCGCCACCAGACGGGGCTCAGCATGTCTAGTGCCCGGCTCCCCGACCACTTTTCCTGATTGACGTCAATCTCCGGATGGGAGAGAAAGACCTGGATCATTTGCAGGTTTCGGGTTCTCACGGCAATATGCCAGAATGAATTCGCAAAGAGATCGTAGCTTTTGTGGGGGTGGACGCCAGCATCCAGCACATTCTGCACGACTTGATAACGGCCCCGGATAATTGCCTCTGCAAATGGCTGTGGTATCTTCTCGCCGTGCGAGCGTCGGTCCAACCCAAGTGACGTTCATGTGGCAAACCCTTCTCGTCAACAAAAGTGAATCGCTCGTAATGCTCCTTGGAGGGAAGAGCCCATTTGAGGCATTGCTTTCTCAGCGGGTCTCTCAGAGTGTCACTCAGGGCTGGAACAGATGACCTGAGATTCATTAGCTCCCAGAAGTTCAGCTGTTCAATGATCACATACAGGATATCCATGGGGAGGTCTTCCAGGTTAGAGACTCTAGCACGTTCCGGAGCATCGTCGAAGGTATTATCGTAGTTGCTGGACATGGTCCCCGGTTCGAGTTGCTGATCCCCTGTATGTTTAAGGTTTTGGCTTGACGGTTATTATCGTGGTATCATGAGTTAAAAACAAGTGAATCAGGGTATTATGTTGGTTCTTTTATATTGGTAGAGCACCAACTCATACTAAAGATAATCTTCGCGGAAAGAGGATAACGTCTCATTTTATAAAGGACTTAAGAGATAATTTCCGTGCAATGTGGATTTTCTTTGTTAGGTTTTCACAGCTGTGGACTTGAAAGAATGATTTCTGTCTGGTGCCTCTGGTCGTATCAGCGGTGATACATGTCCACGCTTGGTTGTGTGGAGTAGGGCACATCCTGCGTTATTCACTAGCCTTCTAGTGTTTCTGTCGAGCTTCCGGTTGGGTGCCTGGAAATTATAGAGCCATCTACTAAATAGTTCTTGTACATGTTTGACTACGAGTAGCGTCTGACGATACCGGTGAGTTCTGATCAAGGTTCCTCGTCGACAGTGGATTTAATTGGCATGTTTCCGATGTTTGGTGCCTCCCTGAAAAAGCAGTTATGGAACAGCCGGGTGCTTTGGGTTATCTGGAATCACGCAATACTGTGGTGGCTCGTTGCGTATCAGTAGTCCAGTGCAGAAGAGCTTTCTTCCTTTGAAACTTGCTTTCAGTATCCCATTGCCCCAGCAGGATATCAGACTGATGGCACATACACTCTATGTCCTGCCTCAAGAAGAGGATAAGTTACTGCATGATAGTGTACTGTAGTCCATTGATGCTTGCATACAGCGAATGCACAAGCGGGAACCAGCACAGACCCTCCTCCCGATACCCAAGCGCACCCACTACTACTGGTAGCGTAACCACCGCCTTCCCCACCGCCCGATCGTATCCAGCGTCATGCCGGGGATCCTGCCACCATAGCCCATATCAACAACATCCCGAAGACTGGTAAACCAACAACCATCCATTCTAACCACTACCCACCTACACACACCCTACGCCCCTCTCACACCTCCGTCCTATTGATCCCTTATATGAAATATACTCCGACATTAAATTGAGACAACATGGATTACACAGACCCCTTCCTCCAAGTCCAAGCGTAAGTATTCCAATAAATCCCCTACAACCCCCGATAAGTGAATCCACCCCCAGCTAATCACATCCTGGAAATCCATCAGGGACGTCCTCTCCACCCTCCAGAGCACCCGACCCCTCTTCTCCTCCTACTTGCGCATCCGCTCGCTCGCCAAATCCCCCAGCAACCCGGAGCTGCAACAAGCGCGGTCGGAGCTCGAAACCACCCTGACGGACCTCACCGCCGATCTGGACGATCTCGTCGAGAGCGTGCGCGCCATCGAGCAAGACCCTTACCGATTCGGCCTGGAGCTGGAAGAGGTCCAGCGTCGCCGGAGTCTGGTCACCGAGGTGGGCGCCGAGATTGAAAACATGCGCCAGGAGTTGCAGCGGGCAGTCACGACGGCAGACGCAGCGGCGAGCGGTGCGGGTGGTGGTGGTGCAGGGTCCTCGCATCTGCCGAATCCGGCAGATTTCGATGATGATGACGGGGGTCTATTGTCGCCGTCTGGGGAGCGGGGTGATGATTACTATGCGGCCATGGAGCAGCAGCGGCAGATGGAGCTGATGCATGAGCAGGATGAGCAGCTGGATGGGGTGTTTCGGACGGTGGGCAACCTCCGGCAGCAGGCGGATGATATGGGCCGGGAGCTGGAGGAGCAAGCGGTAATGATTGACGAGGTGGATACCTTGGCCGATCGGGTCGGGGGCAAACTACAGAGCGGGATGTCGCGCTTGAAACATATCATTCGGAAGAATGAAGGTAAGGAAGTTCAACTTTTGGGTGTTCTATCCAACCTATCGGAATACTAATCGTCGCCATTAGATACAATGTCCTCCTTCGCCATCGCGGTCTTGATATTCGTTCTAATCCTCCTCTTGATCCTGCTCCTTGTGCTTTAAACTGGGGTGAAGTTTGTCCGGTCCACGGATTTAGACCTTGGTCTTCTTACGGGGGCGGGTCTGTTCTTCCTCGTCGTCCTCATCCTCGGACACGTCGATGTCGCTGTAGTCGACCTCTTCGATGGATTGATCCGTGACTAGACACCGTCAGTCAGTGTGAATGAGAAAACTGCGGTCGAGGCCACCGCACTTACCATAGTACTTCATCGCATTGGGCCAGAGATCCTCAGCAACGGCGATGGCCAGCTCCTCGCCACCAGGGAAGATCTCGATGAACTCGAAGTCATCCTCCAGATCATCATCCTCGTCCTCCTCGTCCTCCTCGTCCTCCTCCACCTCCTCGCCCTTGCGCAACTTCTCAAACTTCTCCTCCTCTTCCTTGGTAGCAGCCTTGGACTGCTCCTCGGTGACATCACTGCCGCGGTAACCGAAGAAAGCGAAGAAGCTCAGGTCGGCATCGGGAGGCACGTCGTCCTCCTCATCGTCACCCTGGGGCTCCTCGTCGGCCTCGACCTCGTCGCGCTTGCGCATCAGCGCCTCGAACTCCTTCAGCTCCTTGCGGTCCGTGTCAGCGTCCTTCTTCTTCTCCGCCTCGGCCAGGTCGCAGGCGGCATCCAGCAAGCCCTTGGTGGGGTCCTGGCCCTCCTTCCAGTTGATGCGGACGGGCTCCGAGACGAGCCCGTCCCAGTGGCGCTTGTGGCCGTTGGCGGTGGTGATGACCTGCTTGCGCCAGTAGAAGTCCTTGACCAGCTTCTCGTTGGTGAAGTAGGGGTTCTCGTCACCGGTGCGGAACTCGAAGGTCAGGCGGAAGCTGCGGGGCTCGCCGGCGCCCTTGTCGTCGACCTCGAAGCGCTCGACGGTCAGGTTCTTCAGCGTGGAGGCCAGAATCGTCGCGTCGGCCATGGTGATGTGCTCCTCGACCTCGGCGGGGGCGTTGAGCATCACGCGCGTCCAGAAGGTATCGCGCAGGTCGGGCAAGGAGATGACCTCATTGCGCTTGGTGAAGAGGGGGCGGAGGAGGAGGGTCGAGTGGCGGACTGCAGCATTGGCATAGAGTGTTAGTATTAGTCTATCACAGACCCCAATAAAACCAAAAGAATGGCAGCAGCCAGCCCAATAGCCAATCGCGCAGCACCCGAACCCCTTCAAGATCTAGCAATGCCGGAGCTCTGCACAAAGCAAAAGAAGAATGGAAGTGAAAGAACTCACGCTGCTCGACCTCAGCCTGAATGAACTCCTGCTCCACCAGCGCAATCTTCTTCTGCGTCTCCTTGCTGACCTCGGGCCGCTGGATGCGCTCCAGCAAGGACTGGTTCTGCTCTTCGGCGGACATTTTGCTTTCGCTGTGTTGGGAGATTATTGAATGTGTGTAAGGGTTTGTGTGTTTCGTAACTAGGATTAATACTGTTCAACCCAGTAAGTCCAATGCTCACGAAGAGAGAAAAAGTGAAAGTGAATGAGTGAGTTGAGTTTGAGAAAGGGAAAAAAAAAAAAGAGTAAAGCAGGCCGGGCGCAGAACTTGGATCCCACCCCCGGGTTTTTCAAGAGAGCTGACTTAACTTGACCTGACTAAGGTTGGTTGCTAGCTAACTAAGCTTACCTTAACCTAATTTAGTAACCACTAACTACTGCAGTGTGGTGCCCCCAGTGCATATAGCTCCAGCTCCGGGCTCTCTCCCTCTCTCTCTCTTCTACACTAGATTTCTGTTTGGCACGGGAGGGTGCTTACTACGTATAGTTTTGTATTTTATCTGTGAGACCAGGCAAACAGAACTTCCAATGGTAGTAGGAATTATCATCCAGGCTCAGAACTCCGACGATTTTTCCAGGAATCCGAAAGAGTAGAATAATGGAGGGCAACGACAGTAGGTCCTGTACAGTACTGTCGCAACGCAATCTCTTCCTTACTCTAACCACCGTAAAAACTCTACCTAACAAACGGGGGACGGGCACGGGCACGGGCACGGGCACGGGCACGGGGTTACACTTACATGTACGGAGTACACATGAAAGGTCACTGCAGTCAGGTCCAACTCCCAAGTTCCAACCTCCCAATCCAACTACCGCCTTCGGCCTTCCGCCATTCTTCCGCTGGAGCATAAGAACTAAGTGATCTAAGAGATGAGTAAGCGACTCACTCGTACATAGCCCCCATCCTACTTATAGCAAAACCGGGCCCCTTAATTAACATCCTCCTGATTGGCGAGCACACGCAGAAAGTGGGCATCCTTAACCGCCATTCCCGCTGTTTCAAGTACTTTTTTTGGGAGGGGAGGTTAATTTACCTAGCTTGGACTTTTTTTAGTTTCATGGGTGGGGACCGTTGGAATTTTTTTGCGGGTTCAGGTACTCCTTATAAGATTTTTTATGCGGTGATACTCATGGATTACTACGCCGGAAATGTGTTTGCATGGACTCCATAGAGGTACAGTTGTTTTCCTTATTGATTGGACTACTCTGCGCTATGCTTGTAGTCGCTGTCTATTATCCGAAAGATACTTCGAGATGGTCACTCGAATGTCGAGATCCTGGAAGAGATTTGCCAGCAGTGACGTCATTTACTACAGTCCCTCTCTTGTGCATAGCATCTCTTCATGCCAAATGTTAGACAAGATGACTAGCTATCCTTACAGTGCTGTAGAAGTGACAGTAGAGTAGTCTCCTACCTTTTCATTCAATCTCAGTGTGAGGTTGTATTTCTCGAGGTAATAGGAGAAGACCAGACCAAGTCCTGTCGACATAAGTACTCGAGTAGCCGAAGAATAACCTCTGAAGCTATATTCTGTGGGCAGCAGGGACTGGCTACTATTGCGTGTCTGGCTCCCTCTAAACAGTCGAAACTACTACCAAGAGAAGCATAGATGATGATATCCAGACGCATAAACATCTCATTCAAAACTCTCCAGACCTCAAACCAGATCAAATCTGAGAATATCAAATTCATAAATCAGTAGCCGCCGATGCTCACAGCATCCGAGGGGAATAAATTAACTAGAAGCACACACACACACACACACACACCCCCCCACAAAACAGCAACACCAATTCCATATCAGAAACACAGATGATATGAAGGTATGACAACAGAAGAGATCAAGAAAAAAAAAAAAACTTTTGGCACGCGCGGATTGACCATGACCCTCAAAATCAATCCGACATGGCCAGTATCATGCCTGCATAGTCGTGACGTGCGTTTCAGCCAGAATATTATGATAAAAAAAACAAAAGAAAAAAAAAGACAAAAAAAACTTTTCCCCCGAGGTGAGTTGAAAGCGGCGACGCCCTCAAATCTTCATTCCTCTTGTTTGTGGCTTTCCCATTAAGGTTAGATCTTCTGTCTTTCTCTCTTTTTTTGAATGTCTCTTCCCCCAAGAGACATTGATAAGGGAAAACCCAGGCCAGTTCGCCGGTGATGCATGAATGCAGGGAAAAAAAAAATCGGTAAGTAGATAAGACAACAAAATGCACGCCAACAGGCAGGATTGCAGTGCGGTGAGTAGGGTGTTGTATGTGTCTGTCGTGAGCGAGGGATTTAGGATTTCGAAAGAAAGTCCGACCGGTCAAAGCCCCGGAGGTTGGGTTCAGGCAGGCCATCCATCAACCGATGGGATGTAATGTAACCTCCCCTTATCGCAAACCAATCGCGCCATCGATCAGGTGACGGGCCAAGCCAGACTCACCGACACCGGCGCACGTGCCCGCCGGCTCAAACTGGACGGGACTAGGCATGATCTTCCCACCATTACAGCATCCAGTCCAATCCGTTGGCCTCCTCCTCCACCGGAAAGACCTCGCGCGCATATTCCTCCATATCGCGCCACCCCTGCCATAAATGCCGGGCCTCGTCGGTCACACGAAGCGAAATCACCCCTCCGGGACCCTGCATCATTCCCGCGCCTGCGCCTTTGCCATTGGCGGGCCCCAGTCCCTTGGGGGATCCGGCGGCCGGACGGGAGAACTCGGGCTGTGGGAAGTAAGGCGCGTCGCACTGTCCGAACACCACTTCAAGCGCCTCCAGCTGTTCTCGATAACCCGGCGGAATGTTGACTTTCACTTCGACCTTGGGGACGCGCAGGTAGCGACAGGGGCGGCCGAGCGCGCGCTCGAAGGCAGCGCAAACTTGATTGGGAGAAAGAGTCTCGAATGTGAGCGCGATACTGTGGGTCGTTAGTACCGTCTCCCCATCACAAACAAACAGCAAGTCAAACCTACCGATGTCCGTTCCACTTCTTCGGCCCATCCTTGAAAATCTGCAGCAACGCGGGTCCCACATCATGTTCCGAGTCCAGCCAGGGCAGCGGAATGTCTGGGTCAAAGGGCGCATGCCACTCGAAACTTCCATCCGGCATGAGCTCCATTTGGAAGAGGGGATAGGGTAGACTCGTGAAATTGTTATTGTAAATACCGGCGTAGACAAAGGTTGAAGGGAGGCCCAATTGACGGATGTAGTTCTCGACGGTGAATTTGGGGGCCCAGAGCGGTACCGGAGGCCAGGGCCCATGTACCGAGTGATCTGGCATACTGCTGTAGACGTAGTGTTGGATGGTTCCGGCTCGTTTGGCGGCGTCGGCGAGGTCGCGGCCGATTGCGACTTCATCGCCTGATTGTGAGGTAGTGTTGATAAATGCAATGTTGGCGCCCTCGAATAGTGCGTCCATTAGGGGAGTGTTGCCCAGCAGCGGGCCTTGGAATAGAGTGACATTCGGAAGCTCCTGCAGCTCCTCTGCGACGAAGCCCTTGAGAGAATGGATCTGAGCGCGCACATGGTGTCCGACGGCCGAGGCAACGCGTATTAAAGACGCAGCCTGGCGACCCGTCGCGTTTACCACAGCGATAGTCTTCTTTTGTTGTGTCATGGGGAAGAGGGGGAGGGGGGGAGGAGGAGGAGGGGAAGAGGAAAATGTGGAGGGCGGCGGAAAGAATAAAAAAGCCTCCGACAGGCTGCGGGAGGAAAGAAGAGGATGCGGGGTAAAAGAGGAACACGAGGGAGGAAAATCAATGGTAGAAGTAGAAGCTCAAGGTCAGTGAAGTAGTAACAGTACTTGATCGGTGAGCAGGCCAATGCAAGTAAATGTAGTTCCCTTCGATCCGAGACAAGGTCAGGTGGTATGCCACCAACACAGCGCACGTTGTGACTAGTGCAGCAAAGTAGCGGTGGTTCAAAGCAGGAGAAACGAACTGCGGCACGGTGGGGTAGAGGAGAAAATGTACGTGGAGATCGTGGTTCACTATTGAACAACTTCTTCAAGGCGATGAGGAGGGGGAATTATTTGTTTATAGCTCAGTGGGCTAGGAGTCCCTGCTGTCGCGACAGATTTGTTCAGTAATGCCGCAATTGAAGAAATCGATGATGCAAGCTTCCTTGAAGATAGCTGCTGCTGCTGTCGCCGCTGCTGATGAAAGGAAGTTGCTTTCCTGGGATGATATCCGTCGGGCAGAATATGAGGAAATCGCCGCGTACTAAAAAGACTCCGCTGCCAGAGAAGTAGAGCCAAAAAAAAAGTAGGGAAAATTAAAAAAAAAAAAAAAAAAATAGAAAAATAAAGTGTTGGAGATGGCGCGGCGGGATTGTCGATAATCGATAATACTCCAACTCCTCAGACCCTCTAAATCGGCGCAGCTGAGACCAAAGTTACTATACACCACACTACTCGCCGAGAGCAGGAAGTTTTGGTTAGTTAATGGGTAACAAAAATGCGCTGTTTTCTGGGCCGTTCAATGCACACAATACGAATGCCCCTTGACCAGGGCAAGGAAATGTGAATAATAAGAATCACCGGATACTCCAAGATGGGCCAGCAATGTGGATTGTGGACCACCCCCGGGAGCCTGGTCTGACGCCAGGTGAGGGAATTGATCTCACTTTGGTGGGCAGTGGGCAGTGGGCACCGATAACGCAAAGCCTCCCCTCCCCTCAAAAAGTCAAGTAATAATAACCAGGTGAAAAATAAGGGGAGAGAAAAATACTAGGCAAAAAATAATAATGATAACAACGGCCGGCAAGGAAAAATTGAGCACCAGACTTACAAGAATTTCCAGTTCTACCAAAGGATTGAAGCCGAAACTGATATCCACAATAGCACCGCACCGCAAAGAAAAAAAAAATCCAGTGTAGCCCGTGGATCAGGCCCAGTGCTTGGTTCCGAGATTCGCACCCACAACCAAGAGGAGACCCTAATCAGCCCTGCTGGCCAGAAACAGTCGATATATGCACGAGGAACGCCTCGAGAGACGCAGCAGGATCTTGCTAAATTCAGGAACAAGAGAGGATGTTATTTCCGGGTACCACACCGCAGGCAAGGGTGGAGAGTAAGTAGCAGGTAGTAGGCAGTAGGTATGAAGGTTTGATGCGGAACGATACTTTATGTATGCTTGGGAAGCTCCCAGGTAGGTTAATGACGGGTGTACTACAGTTCACCAAGAGCAAAGAGGTGGTGGAAAGGCACGCGCTGTCGGCTGTATAAGTAACTGCGGTCTGTGTGTCTTTGCGACACGATGGGGACCTGAGGAGCCAACAAGCAAGAATTGCAGCATCCACCATGTACCCTAGGAGACACAGCCGACTGGTCTGGATTGGGATCGTCTGGGGTTTACCGCGCACTACACACAAGAATGGAGTCGCAAGACTAAACTAGTACACGGCTCTTCAAATGCCTCAATTCGAGCTCTAGAAAGAAAAAAAAAAAAGGACTGTTGCAGAAATGACGGAGGCAGAGCTTCTACGCCTCGTCCCGTGATGGGAGTCTGATCCGATGTGGTTTCCGAGGTGGTTTATATCGAGTAATGACAATCAGTCATAAAATGCGCCATGTCAGGCGGCTTGAAAACTCTGGATGAAATATCCTTTTCCAGGGTAGAGGAGATTTGGTCATTCGTGCTCTCTGCTTTTCTGTATGGCTGGTCAGTGTATAAGATCTTTGATTGATGATTCTAGTTTCTTCGAGGCTTTCTGTCTGTCGGCCATCTCCATCTATATCACACCTTCCCTGGCCTCGTTCTAGTGTCTACGCCCTTTTTTAATTCCCGGGGATGGCCGTCACCGTCGGCAGATCAGGCAAGTCTACGAGATCGCCATTATCAACTTAGCCCTGACAGTAGTCGTAGTAGTTCAGGGCCTGGAAGGGCGAATTCGCCAGAAACATCCATCCACCAGCTCGCTCTGGCGTGGCCGGTGACTGGGTTTACTTTTACGTAACTCGGGATGCAGTTCAAGCGTAGTCGGAAGGCGAACTTCGAGAGATTCGTCCCCCATGATGGCCGAATGATGGCATCATGAGAGCAGTGGAAGGAAGAAGCCAGGAATTACGGCATTCTCTGGAGAGGTGATGTTATGGTTGATGTTGTTGTTGTTTCCCCCTTCCCCCCGGACTGTACGCTGAAGAGGCAAGCATTTCCGAACTCGATTCTAGAGATCAGGTGGATTACCCCCCTGTCGCGTATGACATAAGGGCCAGGAGGTGTACCTGTCGAGCATGAAGAGGAGTTAATCTAACAAAGGTATCAACGCGATGATCAAGGCTGATGGAAAGCCATGAGGGGGGAAGAATAAAAAATCCAGAATAAAATGCATTTGATTGACAAAAAGTAAGAACAATTAAAATGTCCCTCCCAAAGGCGATCCGATCCCGGCAGTGGCAGGCCAATGAGGGAGCGAGCCTTGGGCAGAGCGGGGAAGAAAAGCAGCACAACTTCACCACGCGGATCGCCCTTGGGCCACCACCAAACCATCCCAATTCCATCACCGCCTACGCTAACTGGCGACTACCCTGAGAACTATATCGAAACTGTCAGGCAGACAGTAGCCGTTCATCCTTATCACGTCCAGAGGCTGTGGGAGGACTCTGAAGAAACTTGACAGGGCCGCCGTTAATCAGAGCACTAGGTACTGTATCTACGGCGCATGTTTGTCAAAACCGAGTCGCAGCCGAGAAGCTGAGAGACATAGCGAATGCCCCGTCGGCCATCAACCTGCCCACGTTCTGCTCCAGTCTCCAGACCCATATCCATCGCCGATGGATTCCCCCTCACGCCGGCCAATCCGTGCGCCGCACATTCTCACGCGTCCCTGCCAACTTGCCAAGACTGGGTACGGTGCTCGGATGAAGCGGATCGTCACTTATCCCTGATCACGATCACCAGGAGTTGAAGATTTTTTCTAGCTGCTAAATGGATGGGTACTATAGTCGGAGTTTTCAGAGCTAGCGGAACCCGTTGGGGAGAAGTGAACAAAGGCGCCGGTTGTCCGTGTCAGTGTCGGTGTCCTCCGTATCATCATCCCTACGTGTACCCATGATTCCACGATCTGAAAACCGCGGGGAATTCCCCAGAATCAAAACCTCCGGACAATCCGCCCCGTTAGACCGAGGTGGCGGGGTCAGCTGTAGCGGTTCTTTTCACCTTTTCTAGGGGAGGAAGAGAAAGAAACCACGATTGCTTATCTGATGACTCATACCAATGGAGAGTCTCTTGCACAATCCGTTGAACCCCAATAAAGCTAAAACAGCGAAAAAGCCATCGCGCACTGCAAGTGTAGTTAGACTTACCCCGTAAGTGGCAGTAATCGCGCAATAGGAAGCGGGGTATCGTGGACTGGCCGCTGGCCTACCGGGCAAGGGCAACTTTTGCGATGTTCTAGTGTAGTAAATACAGGGCTGGGCTGGGGCTGGACTGGGAGACTAAATGCTGTCATGGTGCATTTGCTCCATCCAGTCCCATTCTCCGGTGAGAGGGTGCGTGCATGACCCCGGTTCTTTCAAAGCCCGTGCTAATTTTTTGGGGTTGATGTCTCCGCGGGCAATTTTGAGGCGGCTTCTCTTGAGTCTTGAGGCATTATCACTCCCGTGACCTGCCTAATCGGTCTACCTTAATGTCGGACTGTCCGCTCGGAACCGCGGACCGCTCCGAGGATAGCACGTTTTGTGTTTGTTGACTGACTGTCTGACTGACTGTCTGACTTACTGTCTGGTTGTCTTGTGTGTGTACGGGCGGTCGGTCCAGCCCGTTGCGAGTTGGGTCAGGATCTCGCCACCGGTCGTGACACATTTTGAGATCTAATCCATATGTTAGTTATCAGATGCGCTGAGAATGAGGTGATTTCTTTGCGGGGCTCTGTTAGGTCCAGCCGTTGTTAATTGCTTGGTGTCCCTGTGGTTCGAAGGAGACAACGAGGTGGTCACTCGAGATCTTGCATCCCGCTCTGCTGCTTTCTTGCGATAGATGCAGGGGCTGCAGATGTGAACAAGCTTTCTCCTCTTCCCTTTCTCCTTTCTCCTTTCTCCTTACCCTCTTCCTTCTTTTTATAGCTTTGAGTCTGGGTTTTTTACTGTCGCTGCCGCCATGTGTTCAACTGGAGGGCTTGGCTGTTGGCAGATGTGTTTTTGATCAGTCCGTGGGTCTCTATTTGCGTGGGGGGCCGTAGCAAGTCAGGTATATGAGATGCGTATGGGTCAGGATGATTGGGATTGAAGAGAAGAACCATGCTGCGATGGACGCGACGCTCGAAACTGGTGAATGAGTGGACAAGGATTCACGGACTGAATCCGTGTGGACTATGACGACCCGGTAGCAATGAAAGGGCCCAGAGCCATTCAGAAGATGATTCGGTGGTGGTAACAACTCAACAGATGCGAGCAATCGCTGAGAAACCTAGAGGATCCATCGAGGATGACTATGAAAAGATTGTCTTCCGAGCAAGACAAGTAGGTACACCTCGGGTAAGAAGGATAGATTGCTGGACTAGCCACTTCATAAACAGGTCCTTTGGAAACAATCATGGATCAATACCACACCGACTACTAAACACCTCTCCGCGCTAGTGGTCATAAAGGCTTCTATGGAGACTTGGATAGTTGTCGTAAACCAAAAGAATCATTAAAGGTCAATCATAAATACAGCGCTCGTACATATGCCATAATCTATAGTCAGATAAAAAAAAAACACATCAAGCCCTAGAAAGTGAAAACAACCGTGCTGGTTCAAGCCCAGTTAGGAAGACGCCATCTAGAAACGCCAGCCCCCAAAGCACCGTCTAATTGCTGTCCAAGACAACGACCTCGGCTTCCGCCTCTCCGACGCTCTCCACGCTGAGCACATCTCCGGCGTTCACTCCTGTGATGAAAGCGCCGTCGCCCTCTTCCAAAATCGCATTGTCGCGGAAGTCAAGTCTGATCTTTGCCTTGCCGCCCTTGGTCATGGGGAGGTGGATGTAGACATTGCGCTTCCTCTTCTGGGTGACCGCATCGCCAGCGCCAACCGTCCACTGGAATGTCTTCTCGGGCTCGATGATGCCTGCCCCCATCACGAAGTCCGCATGGATGGGGATCGTCTCGGGGATCTTCGGGACGGCCGCCTCCTCTTCCGCAGCGGTAGCATCGGGACCCGCCGCGAGCGGCGACAGGATATGCACGAACCCCTGACGCTTGGCCGCCTCATCGAACGTTCTCGTGTGGTAGTTTGGCTTGAGTCCATACTTCCATGGGAGAGCCCAGATTTGAAGGAAGTGGACTGGCTTGTTGGACTCGTTCTGTTCGGAATGCGCGATGCCTGTTTTGTCGTTCTGGTTAGCTTGTCACAGGATAATCTGTGTGAAGGGGACCAATTACGTACCTGTGCCACCGGTCGTGAACTGTACATCACCCCGCTTCATCCGGTAGAATTGCTTGCCCTGTGCACCTTCGGCGCCCTTCTTGATCATGCTGTCGCGGTGGGTCAGCTCGCCGCTGAGGATGTAGCTGAAGATCTCGGCATCGCGGTGAGGGTGGGTCGGGAATCCATTGCGGGCCGCGACACGGTCCTCGTTGAGCACGCGCAGACTGCCGAACTGGTTGAACTTGTGGTCGTAGTAGTTGGCGAAGCTGAATGTGTGGAAGGTCTTCAGCCAGCCGCCGTGTTCGGCGTAGCCGCGCTCGCTGGAGCGGCGGGCCACGATGGAAGCGTGAGCGAGAGGCTTGGACATTTCGATGGAAATGTTGTTCGAGAAGATGGCTTTGGTGATGAAGAAGATGAGAGGAGTGAGGATGATCAGTGAGTAGAGTAGTGTTGAGAATGGATTGAGTGCGATATGCATTTTCAGGAACTATTCCCTCTGTCGCTGCGATCGATGATCGGCTTTATAGTTTTAGTGGGCTGCAAGGTCCAGGCGGGGCGGAGATCCGTCAGTAAGCATGGGGTAAGACTGACTAAGGGCCCCTGGGAATCTTTCTCCTTCCCACTGCAATGCTGATGGAAGAATCACGTCCATTTGCGCACTGTGAGTGGTTGGATAAATTGTGTTTCATTGAGTAAGAAGATTCTAGCCTCTGAGCTGTCAAATCCTTCCTCGTGTTATAGAGTGGTTGATAAGTTCTGGGTAATTATGCTGACGGACATCTTCTCTAATCCACGATTTGTCAATCATCCGTAAGATCTTTGATGGAACGGCAAGCTGTATGATTGGTTGGACAAATTTAGCCACTGTCATCATGGATGACATAATCAGCAACCGTTTTCAATCACGAACGTTGACAACTTAGCTATAACTTCAGAATCTTGTCCCTTGATTTGGTACCTGGAGTCTTGCTGAAGAGGTTTTTTGTTTGGTGATAATATGTACCTGGGTCTGTTCAAGTTGCCGCTTGGCCAACGAACCTGACCCTGTCGACTTCATTGAAGCTCTGCTTAAAGACATGAGGTCGCATCTAACCTTGAGTGGTTATTACCTCGCAAATGTTGTTCTCAAATTACACTTCGAAGAAAAAGCTCGCTGAGAGTCTGCATCGCCCCTTCTATCTTGAATGGTTCATGTATTACCTAGTTCTTTGCTTCCAGCTTCAAATTATTATGAGATCTCGGTCTCATTGCAGGCTGTATTGTAACACTCCAAAGATATTCACTTCATTTTGTCCCAAGTATGAGTACTTGTGGAAGAAGTCAGAACTTAAATGCACCAAGGTATCGGGGATTATTAGAGGGCATTACGCAATGTATCTAGACGGGCTCATCGAGGCCTTACGTGCAAACTGATTAGATGCTTGCGTTCAGTTTTTTTGCTTGAGACTACTTACAATGTATCAGTGAATACATACTTAAGTTGAGACAGCTGCCTACCTGCATCAATCACAAGGGGTGGCTTTGACTCCTGAAATGTGTTACTATACAGCATACTTCTCTTCTTTCCCTACTTCTCTCCCTACTTCTCTCCCTACGTCTCTCACCTTATATCTTACCTTCTCGCACTACCTCTTCATCTTCTAGTCATCTCTTCAATAATTCACCAACTGCTTGAATATCCAGCGTATGTAGGGCGTGTGCTCACAGCAGACAAAGATATTAAGTCAACTGGCTATCAAGTACAAATGTCGACCTTAACAGATTAACCAACACCGCAGACTGCAACGAAGGACTCCTTTGCAAAATCGTTAGTGAGCCAGCCCTTCGCAATAAGACATACTGACCTAGCCCCCCTTAGGGTACTTCCACTATACCACGGACCTCAAGTCACTATCCGTATCGGGTCCGGTGGTCCGACTTACTCATTGTCTAAGGACCTTCTGTGCAAGAAATCCACATACTTTTCGAAGATGTTTGAGGGACAGTTCAAGGAAGGAAAGAGTATGTCGGCAGTCTTAGGAGACGATATCGTCTCCGAAGAGAGCTTTGAGCTGTTTATCGAGTGGCTGTACACCGGACAATTCAAACTGCTGCAACAAACCCGCAGTGACCAGATTTCCTGCCTCATCGAAGTTGCCCGCTTCGCCGATATGAGTGATATCACCGACCTGACATACGCCATGGTTATGAGCATCAAGCAAGTACTTATGGAGGACCCAGACTGGAAGCAAAGCCGCGACTCATGGTCTGCTTCTCCAAAGTCTGCGTTGATGTTAAAGCATGTCAAAACAGAACATCTCAAATCAGTGGATAAACTCCCTACAGGAAACCCAGTGCGTCGGGTTCTCGTCCTCGCATCCGTGGAACCATATTTGATCGCCGACGACTTCAAGTTCCTTAAGGACATTGTGCTCTGTCCGAGGTTCACATACGATCTTCTTGTAGAAACACGAAGAATCTTGCAAGAAGCAGGTATTCGACACAAGTGTCCGCTCTCGCAGGATCCCCTAGCACATACAAAACTGTCGCCAAGTCATTAGATGCACGCTGTGCAACACACTTACTTCTTCCAAAAACCTCAAACGGGGATGAACTACTCACTTGCGGATGTGTCATATGGGAGCGTGGATTTGTTCTTTGGCATGGAGAGGGGAGAGGCATAAGTGACTTTGACTGTATAGTAGTACCGCCACAGATGGCAGGATGGAATGCGCGGGATACTTTCAATAATTCAGGAAATAGGACGATAAGGCGGGGGACTAGTCATTGCTCATTCTTCTGACATGGTGGTGTCAACTTTCGCCTGTCTTTCTGACTGCTTCTGCTCCCGTGTAGGTAACTTATTTTATAAGCTGAGACTCCAACTCTGTCTTCCGTCAACTGATTCTGGAGTCCTACTAGTCCTCACCAGAGCAGGCGAACGAAGGCACCCATGATAGTAATTTCGGAAGGCATGGCTCCCCTAGACGTAGTTTACACGCCATCTGACGGACCACGCTGCTAAAGCATCTGCAATAGATATCTTAGAACTACGATCCTCCACGCGCAGCGTCAAGTACGTACGAAGCAATCCACAAAGCTCCAATCCAACGCCACACCCAATGCCAGTCCCCAAGAAGCTCACGGCCGTCCACAGCATCTTCCCAACCCACAATCCACAGCGCAATCCCATGACCCATCGAAATGACATCCAATGGTCTATGCATCCGCAACTCCAACCATCCACATCTGTCACCCTTCAACGCAAAGCACAAAACCATTTAAACACAGTCTCACCTCCCCACTACACCATCACAACCCCCCAAAACCAGCTATAGGCAAAGACACAGAGCCACAATGCAATCCCATCTCGCCGAGGTCCCTCGCAAAAGCCTACCACAAACACCCTCCCGAATTCCTCTCACTGACCACGCCCAACTCTCCAAATCTTTCTATCCTCACCGACAACCAGCATACTAAGAACGCCACGCCCCTCCAACACCACGTACCTCCCTCCCCAACAACAGCAGCATGACCAAACCCCACCCCATCTCAAGAGACGGTGAAGCTCAAATTCCCCCCTATCCCTCTCCTCAACTCAGAAAGACATACCCGATAGGTGCAAGCCGTGAAAAGCCGAGTAATCCAGACTTTAGTGGCGTAGGGGCTAGAAGGGTCCGGAGCCTTCGGCGCCTGGGAGCTGTCCCACCCAACTACCGTGCGGAACGGTCACATGTACAGCAGAAAAAAAAAAAAAAATAGCTTGGCTTAGCTTGCTGCCCTGCCTGCCCCATGACAGGTCTAGTCAGTAAGAAAACTTTTTTTTCTTGCTGGGTTGTTGTTATTGTTAGGAATTAGTAGTTGGTGGCCCGCTGTTGTCATAAAGCTTTATCTGTACAGCGAGTTATAAAAGCCGAGGGGTCTGCCACAGTGAGTCTGCGGGTTTCAGGTTCGAATTCACATTGTTTTCTTCTCGGGTTCCGGTCCGGTCCATGGGTTGAGGTCTCCGACCTACCAAATAAGCTGCATACAGGACTATGATCTCACTAACAACAGTTCTAGTTGTTAACTACTGAACACTGCAGCGAGCGCAACAGACTTTGAAGATTTTTTTTTGTTTTTTTTTTTTTTTTTTGAATCTGATTGTCTATAAATCGACTATCATCACCATGGGTATCGATCGGTATCGTCTATGTACAGCTTTATTTCTTTCTTTGATTTTTTTTGGTTCGTCGTTTGAGGTGGATATCCCCTTTGCTTGAGGAAGGGAGGATGTTAAGGTGGTCAGGTCACCTGGAATCTAGTCTTTTTCGGACTACCTCCAGACGGGTCCAGGTCATATGCAAAATGGCTGAATAACCAAATGGCGGGATGGGGCCAGCGGGAAAACGCTCGGATCAACGCTAATCATGAATCGGAAAATGGGTGCTGGCATGATGGGTGATGTAAACTCGGAAGCAGGAAGCAAAAGGTAAGGTAAGGTAAGGTAAGGGCGATGACAGCTCATGCTTAGTGTGCGTGGCCGGTGGTGGTGGTGGTGGTGGTGGTGGTGGCGTCCTCGACACAACTTTGGCTACCACGGAAGGATTTGCGACCACGGGCGAACCAGTCAACGAGGATGATGAAGATGATGACGCCGTAGACGGCGGACACATAGTTCATGTCTGTGGTGAGCAGATGGTTAGTGAGTTGGTTGGTGAATGGATGGATGGATGGATGAATGAAGAGCGGAAGGAGGATGCGAGGTAACTTACTTCCAGTGTTAACCGGCATGGTGGCAGGGAAGGAGTACATGACCAGACAGAACAGGGTCCAGGCCAACGTGATGTAGTTGGCGGCCAACCCCCACTTGCCCAACCAGAAGGGACCGTGCTTGATGTTGTCGCGACCGCGGTACAGCATGCAGATCACAGGCACCGAGTACGAGATGTACAGCAGCGCGATACAGGCGGTGACCATACTGTTGAACGCAGTGGAGGAGCCGAGGTAGAGCAGACCCAACAGCGCGACAATCAGCGAGCTCGCAAAGTGCGACCACATGGGCACGTCCAGCTTCGTGTTGACAGTCGACAGCCACTGGTGACAGGGCACACCGCGATCGCGCGCGAACGCCCATGCCAGCCGCGACTGCCAGGTGTGGCAGGCAATGAGGCACCCCATACCCGTGACGATCAGCAGAGTCTCCAGCACTATGGCGCCCGCCTTGTTGCTCAACGCCTGGTAGTACAACTCCAAAATGGGGACACCCGTGGACGAGTTGAGCAGCGCGTCCAGGTCCTGGATGCTGAAGAACATGGCCACGCAGTAGAACCACGAGGTCACAAAACCAATGCCCACCGTGGCCATGATGGCGATCGGGATGTTGCGTTCCGGCTGCGGCACTTCCTCCGCCAGGTGCGTCGCCGAGTCCAGACACGCGAAGATCCAGTTGGGGTTGATCAAGCCGACAATGAACGCGATCCCGTCCGACTTCCACCCGGTCGAGTTGACGAAGTGGCCAAAGACGAACGAGGCGCTGGCGTGAGGTTTGGCGCACGCGGGTACGGTCACCAAAATCACGAAGAACGAGAGCAGCGAGATGTACAACGTGGCCTTGGCGACCGCAGGGAGGAATTTACCCCAGCAGTTGAACAAATAGCAGAAGAGGTTGATGAGCTGATACGCTACAACGGTGTGCCAAGGTTTAGGAACACTATCATCGAAGTCAGCACTACAAAGAAGGCAACCGGTTGGGAGAGACAAGCATACAATGAGGGATGGCCCAGCTCCCACATGCCCACCACACCAGATCCCAGACTGAGGGCCACACTGGCACTCGCGAAGATGGCACCCGCATAGCCGAACCAGCCGGTCACGTAGGATGCGAAACGAGCGTACTTCTTAGGAGCCAGTTGATCAGCCCAGAAGTACTGCCCACCCGCGTTGGGCATAGCACTGGCCAATTCCGAAAGGGAAGATCCCACACAGCACGAGATGAAGGTGATCCACAACAGGCCGTAGATGATGATGACCGTGCCTCCGGAACTGATACCCGTAATCAACGACGCAGATATACCGAACCACGAGTTGGACATGCAGAATGCGATTCCGACCAGGGAGAGCACCGAGAAATTGCGCTGCAAGTCCTGGGTGTAGCCCATCTCGGCCAGCTTGAGAGCGTCCGCATCTTCGGATCCGGACGCAGACTCACTGCTAGGCATCACCTGCCCGGTGCTGGGCTTCTTCTCTAAATCGAGGTTGCTCATTGTACCAGACACTTGAAGCAATTGAAATCAGCGTAGAATATCAGGCACGTGGTGTTTGTCGCAAAGGGCAATCGCTCGAGGGGCCGGTCAATGGTTGCCGTAGCCGCAAGATGATCGCGTGGGAATAAAGGTCCTAAAAGGAGGCTTTGATGAAGATTCACTTCTTCAAAACCACTGTTGCATGGGGCTTGTGAATTTCCGATAAGAGCTCGGCCGAGGAGATTGCTGCGGGTGGCAAAGATTCCGTTTGTTCAAAACAGTCGCGAATGGGGTGTCGAAACCGGGGGGGGCGAGACCGTGGCAAGGGCTGAAATTGAATCTGTCGCAGACGGATTGATTGCTTGATGATGGGACTCTGGTTGACGATACGGCGATACAACAAGGGAAGTTTTACAGAATTCAATCTGCGTTTTGGGTTGCGTGGTTCTCTCAAGCTATCAACAACAAAAGCGGGATGGTGGTGGTGGTGGTGGTGGTAGTGGTGGAGGAGAAGCAGAGAGCCAAGCCAGCGTGGAGTATCAATGCCCAGACCGTTGCTGCATAGGAAAGGGTAGTTGCAGGAAGAGGGATCCAGACGAGGTTTAAAGGTAGGGATAACGGAGAACGGGATCAAAGGGAGAAAAGGATAAGGATAAGAGGATGGGTAAAAATAAGTAAAAAGAAGGGTCAAGGTATGAAGGCCGACGAAAGCCGTCAGGATATGGGATACAGTTGACTATTTAAGATCTTTGGGCGAGTTTATTTTTTTCCCTGTTTTTTTTACTCTATTTTTCCCTTTCTACGACCCCATCTTAGGTTGGCTCTTTGCATGGTTGTTGCGAGTCTGACGGAGGCTCCACCAGTCTCAATCGATGGGATGGGATGGGCGAAAGAAGGTACCCCATGCTCTCGTGCCCTCCCTCCTTCTCTGCCAATTTCTACGGGGGAGAGACCTATCATGGATCCAATTATCCGGTTGGAATTCTGCGGGTTCATCTCGACTCTATCCACTTTACTTCGCTTCTGGACGTTCTGTTTTTCCTCCCCTTTCGTCATAGGTGAGGGTCTGGATGGGTTACACGTAGGTTTGGTCGACCATAGAAAAGTCCCTCAAGTAACCACACCAGGTCTGAAAGGTGTGAAAGGCCGAAAAGGTACAGCCCACTACGTAGGGTGCTCGGAAGAACTTCTGTGGCGGTGATTCTTTTGATTCCGGTGGACAAGGGCTTGATTGCCTGGGAAGTCCCCAGGGATGGCTGAGCGATGTCGTTGGCCGCGTGCAGATACAAAGAGTGGCGGTCTCCCCACTTGGTCAGTTTTGGTGCCGACGACAGAATTTTAACTTGTCCACACCGGGTTTAGCCCGCTTCTACCGTGCAGTGCAGGTGCAGGTGCGTGTGAAGTTTCCACTTTGCCCTATTTTCTTATGCTTCCTGGTCTGTCGTCATACCGCAGATGCAGTCAGGATGCATTTGCACGTTCGGCCCCAACAATATCAGATGCTGATTATCGCACTATCACTGCCTAATCCTGTTGGTGCATTGGTGCCAAAACCGGCCCGAGTGAGAGGGAAAAAAAAATATTCTAACCTCCAGCAGATATGCCGATGATCGCTGATAACAGCATCTATCGTATCACATGACCTTCTTATAGACATAACGTACTCTATGTACCTGCACAACCCTTTTACTAAGTTACCCTCCTACCAACAACGTCATCCTCCGCATCTGCCAGCGGGAATAGGCAGACCTCAGACTCGGAAAGAGGCAGAGCAGCCGCACTACGACGTTTAGAGCGACTGAGACAGGAATTTACCGGTCTTTCTGATCCGAACCATCTCCAGCTTTTTTTTCTGCTTCAGTGATCCTCGTTGGTCAGCCCGATGGACCTTAGCCCAGTTGGACACCCGCGCAACGGTGGATCTCATTTCAACATCCGCTTTTCATTCGCACACGAAACTCGGAAAGGGTGAGATGCTAAGAAACACTTGACTAACGCTTTTTCACCGGTCCGCCTTTCGGAATCGAGGCATTGTTATCTTGTCTGTCTGGTCTGGTTCTGCCTACAATATTGATTGTCCTTCTCAGTCAGGGCAGCTCTATCCAGAGTGTCTTCCAGAAGAGATGCTCACTCCCTGCACGAGGACTTCTTTGCCATGTATGGTTATGGACAACAGAAGGCACTGCCCTCGAACTCTCGAATCGATATCAACATCCGGAACCTCCCCGCGCGCCCCAAGGGCAACCTTAGTCCCGTGTCGTCTTTCCTTAGACCAGTCTCTAACCTGCTTGAGGCAGCAATCATCTTTGCCCGTCTCTCGCAAAACAGTAAAATCAATTAGTTCTCTCGGGGGTTTCCGCTGTCCCTGCGTGGAAAATCGCTAGCCGATCATGGTTGTTCGAAGCACCGGTGCACACCCAGGCGCCATTTAGTGCAGTTTCAACTTTTTCTCACCGCAGTTGCTACTGACGTACGTCCTTGAATTGGATCCGAAGACGTTCTACGAGCACTCACTTTACCACAAAACCAAAGGAGTAAAGAAAACTCAATCTGCTCCCTTGCCGCGTCGTGGACGGGAAAGAATCTCGATAAAATCTCCCCGCCCGCGCCCCCAAACGACAAACGAAACCCATGGCTTGATCTAGCATCACCCTGGCGCGTTTTAGCATCCCGCCACAAAGAAGACAAAAAGCCGGGGCCGTAGGATATCCATTCCCCTCCTGGGGTATGGCGCCGAGATAAACCAATTAGACTCGAAGGCTTGTCGTCTTCTGCCGGATGGAGTAAGGACGAATTCGTACTAGCTAGTAGTTTGGGTTAATGGGCGTTATTATGAATGGAGCCTTAGGTTGTCTGTGAGGGCACTCCGTAAGTTATCTTCTTAGTTCTTAGTCTAGCAAATGGGGGGAGATTTTTACTCGTTTAGGGGAAGGTTTGCCGGTTTAGTAGGGGCGTGAGTATTCGTGGCTTCGCCTCGGGAGGCCTTTCGGAAGTCACCGTCTTTTCCCGGTCGGTTTTTTTTTGAAGGCATCCACAGCTACCATGGAAGATTCGTAGTATGTGGTGTATGACAGCCCTTTCCGGCAGAACTCATACACACGTGCGTACGTACGTCGCGTGCAGAGAGGATTGGGGGATCCGCTGTACGAAACTTCGGAGCTTAGGAGGTATTCGAAACGAATCAGCTTGCGTAGGCTTTCTTTCGCATGAAGATTGAATGGTAATCGTGTGCTAGCATTGCTGTGGTCCACGGGACTAAGGATAACGTCCGATTGAGCCAAGGTCTGGGGTCTGTCAAATCCAGCAGTGGCACTTGTGGCCGTGAAAGGTCCTTGCGGATCCGGCATCTATAGTATGACATTGACATTGACATCCGATAGTCTATCTATCAATCTGATTAACAGTCGAAACGGGGTTGGCTAGATCCATGATCGCTCGTCCGCGCGGGGGATCACAAACGGGCGATCAAGCACTCCTCATTCGTTGTCGGGGTTCGACCAGGATGCCTTGTCTCCTTTGGATCGTAAGATTCTGGTGGGTTATTGGTTGCGTGATGGTGCTTATCGACGAAGCTTATCTGGCGATGGCGACATTGACAGGGGACGGGGAGGGGAACCGCGTGCGGAGTAGAATGTTATCTTTTGCGGGAGGAGGAGCAAGCTGCGGAAGATACGATTGTTCCTGCACATGCATTGTGGGTTAGACAGGCCGTTGGCGTTTTTTTTGCCTTCTTTGGGTTGCAGAGGCTGGTTTTTGTGACTGGATATGGGTGGGTTGTCCTGGCGGGCGGGTGGTGGCTTGGTGACTGCTGCTGGTGCAGTGCTTGTTCCGTTAGCAGATTACACATTGGGTTTCGGATCTTGTGGGTTTGCCACTTTCTCTGAGATAAGGTATGATGCCTGTGTGATAGAACAGGTCATACTTCAGTATAGTCGTCGAGTCGGGGGAAGTTAGATAATGGATAATTGGTGGATATGTTGCACATGCCTGTCATAATACTATCAGGATGGTGGCCGTGTTTCAGTCTTCTGTCAAGCATTGGGTAGGCTTCGATAGTAGATGTACCAGACCGCAGTATCGATGTTCTTTCAAGCTTGGCTGGTTCGATGTTTTGTGGTGCTTTCTTCAGGTTTATTGCTAGGAGCAGATAGTATGAGTGTAAGTTGCGATGCTGTGTCCGCTTTCGGCAGAAATATATAACGCCTCGACGCAGACACCTCCTCTCTACTACTCCCATCGTTGTTGAACATACTCTCTAAAAATGCAATGGCCGAGCAGCTGCTACACTCATGGTTTACATGAGAAATGTTGAAGTTATCGTTATATTCATGAGAACGATAGCATGATTCAATCAGCACAGGAAGATGGGCTACACCGAGAGATAAGCAGACGGCGGGTGGTTCGTGGATTGTCCTACGCGACAATTTACTTGCGAACAACATTATTTATATCTTGAAACACAATGGCTGGAATAATCAAGCAGTTGTGAATCATATTGAGGCAGCACAGCCATCAACTACAAAACACACAGGGTCTCTCTGCTGCCTCTGACTCTGAGGTCATCGTGTACCTTGATCGACACTGCATCACAACGGCAGGGGGTCCCCAAGCGCGGGTAGCCGATAACTTAACTAGTCAGGCACACCCGACGCGGTCCGATCTTCCCATCCTCCATTGTTCCATGTTTCTAATGCGGTGCGACGCGACGCGACATCCCCTCGCTCATTTGTCCAGCACCTGTTTCATGCTCGGTCTCACGGTCAACATGAATCTATCCCTGTATCAGTCCTGCGTTTGCATCTGATGCCCGACACACTCATTAGAGGTGCCAAGCATCCCTGATGATCCTGACACCGGCCTCATCGGCTTCTAGAATACACCGAACGCGATCAGCTCGGTACAGCAACGCCACATCTCTGTTGACTGCTCCAGCAACCATAGGGTCGCATGCTCAAATACATTGTGGCTTGACTGTGCATCCCACATGTAGAATGCCCGCGAAAGGTCTCGCCCCGATCATGGGCCGCCCTTGAGTGAGATGGATGTTCTGTTCTCCCTTGGCCGGAATTAAGGTTGGGCACACACATCCATGCACATAGCCGGTTTCTTGTTACAATGCAACCTGCAAAAGTGTGCAGCTGACAATGCTCATCGGCATCATGATGCCTGATGACTGGGGAATCAGTAGCCTCTGAAACGTCGAATATCTCCGACCGTGCAGATGATGTGTCTTTTTGCCACCGCGACAAAAGGAAAGGACTTGCGACTGTCGAGTGCCCGGGAAACCGATTCTTCAGCTGCAACAAGGGTCGGGGAATCTGAGAAAGGGTTAACTCTTCCTCAATGCCGACCGAGCATTGCCGTTTGTCTGTTTTCTGTGGAGTACTCCGTGCTTCAGATCCTGTCTTACATCTTGGCTTCGAATCGTGATGGGTGTCGATATCGCCAATGGCAAGATCTGGCGGGCTTTGCTTTACTACATTGAGTTGCAACTTGTAACGTCTATAGGCGGCGAATCTCAGCTGCGCATGATGGAAACACCTTGGCAGTTCATGGTCCGATCTTAATCTCCGCCATCCTTACAAGATCGGGATTTTCATCGTTCTTTTGTCCGTCTAATTTGCCCCCCAGGCAGACAGACGGGCAAGAGATCACTATTTAGCCAGGATGAGAGAGGTCCTGGATTCCTAGCAACCGATCGGCGTGGTATCCCAACATTCCAACCACCCTACCGCATAGGGATCGATCGACAGGGACCACAACACGTTACTGCTCGGGAAACGGAATGCTATACCCAGTTTGAGTTTCTCTTCACTGTTGTCCTCGATACCGGGTCGTATCAAGTCACATCCTGTAGGCACCTGTGGCGCGAGAAGGCTCGAAGCCATCCACTGTAACGGTATGCAAGGGATATTTCCTCTCCTCAGGACAGAACCTCTGAAGTGAAACATGATGTCAATGACTTTCCAGGCCTTTGGTCCCTCTGGATCTGCTTGTGGTGTGGCGGCGACGTGCTTTGTCATTGTTTTGTTATTGTCGCTGTCTTTTTTTATACTAAGCTTTGGCTGTCCACCGTCGGAATCACCGACTGCACGACCACGGAACAACCTCAACGACACCCATACTAACCACGATCAATCAGCTTCTGCCATTGATGGGCGCGACGTCCGATCCTTAGCTCCCGCTGACGCACTCAGTCGATACCACTCTCCTCTTACCTCAACTCACGCCTTCGCGCTTTCGACCCACCACTTACACCGAATAACCAGCGGATGATGCACCAAAATATGAAATTCGATGTTGCTATAGTGACTTGTTTGGCAATATTCACCGATGTTGCGAACGCTTTCTGGCGTCTGCCTTGTCGCGGACGAAGTGGTGTGGCTCGGATTGATCCCATAATGGCACCAGGGATACCATCGGATCATGTACACGCGGTTCATGGATCGGGCGGTCAGTTCTCTTGCATCATCTGTAGCTCATCAGCAGGGTCGCTGAGTTTTCCCGATAGGATTCTCAATGTCCGCCAACGAGGCGAGTCTAAAGCAATCGAGCTGTACTTCGTGCGCAGTGACCCAGGATAAGTCAGCATACTGGGCGCCCGCGTTGTATTTCGTGCATCAAAACGGCGATGCTGAGCTTGTCAACGAAGTAGGCGGAATGCTTGCGTTAGTTGCCTAGATTGCGATTGTTATTGATTTGTGTTGGTGCTGACGAAGACAGCTATTACCTTCTCAATGGCGAAAATGTGACAGCGTTCCCTGAAAACCTCCGCATGATGGCAGGAGATACATACCTGCGCGACTTCCCCTGGCCGATACCGGATCCCCCGCAGTCGGAGTGGTCTGGAAATGATCTAAAACAGGAGGCTCTTCGCCAGAAAGCTGTCGGATTCAACTGTCTAAATTACCAGAAGGATCCCGAACCCTCTCTGGGTCGCCATTTCTTGCCAAACAAGACATATTTGGATGAGCACTGCACGGAAGGCGTTCGCTTTGAATTGATGTTTCCATCCTGCTGGAATGGGAAGGATATCGACACACCGGACCACAAGTCTCACTTGGCTTATCCGTCTCTGGTGATGGACGGGGAATGCCCAAAAGGCTTCGAGCATCGTCTGGTTTCACTATTCTATGAAAGCATCTGGGATACATACGCGTTCAAAAGCCAAAAAGGCAATTTTGTGCTCGCGAATGGAGACCCCACAGGTTACGGCTATCATGGTGATTTTATGTACGGCTGGGATTCGCAAGTGCTCCAGCAGGCGGTGGATACCTGCACAAACATGTCTGGAGAAGTGGCGGACTGCCCCATTTTTAAGCTTCAAAGTGATGAGAAACAGGATGAGTGCCGTTTCTCCGTCCCGGATGCTCTGAAGAATGAAGACGTGAACTACCACAAAGGTGGTCTCCCGAACAATATCGCTATTCAAAGCGGACCTGCATATGCTAGCCCAGTCAGATACATCACCACTACCACCACCACCGCCGCCGCCGGTGGCCACGGGAGACCAACGCCCGTCTACTTGGATGATCTGCCTACTGTGGGAGTTGGTATTGATCTTGGGTTCTTGTCGGCCGGTCTGCATGTGGCCCTGCCTGAACTAACTACTTCGTCCACCACTACGACGGCGAAGACAAGGGAGCCGACTGCTCCCCCGGTTGCAGAGGGTCCTCCTGCCCGTCCGATCACTTCCTCAATCACCAGCACGCGCACGACATTTGCTGCACCTTTCACCGCAGCTACTTCAGTGACTTCTGTCGCGCAACTTCTAATCCCGAGTGCGTCGGTCGTATCGGGATTTCCCAGTGTAACTGTCAAGCCGTCACTCTCAGCTTCCTCGTCGGCATTGACTGTGCTTTCGACTATGGCTACGAAGTCTCCGGTCTTGCTTGCATCAGTTCCAGCTTCTTCATCGGCGGTGTTGGCTAAACCGGTAGTTGCGCCTCTCGCAGTCTCGACTGGTGTAACGCCAGCAATTCCTCAACCTTCACTCGATATGTCTTCAAATCTGACCTCGTCATCTATCGATGCAACATCCTCCTTGATTCCCTCGGCTCCAGTGACATCTTCAAATCTGTTTGCGGTGTCATCTTCAGCTCCGGCATCTCCATCTGCCGCCGTGCAGTCTTCGGTCTCCATTCCTCCGGCATCTAATCAAACTCCTATTGTGGTCACCATTTCTTCGACGTCTTTCGTTTCCCCCACGCCGGCGTCTTTCAATGCTACTCCGAGATCTTCAGTAATGGGCGTTCCTTTCTCATCCGCTGCCTCTGGTGTAGCCTCGTCATCGGCACCTCTCTTCCATACACCGAACACAACCGTGCCAACCACTCAGATCATCATGTCTGCAGCACTTATCGCTTCTCCGACATCTCCATCTACAGACAACATGGTAACACCTTCGACATCGGCCAAATCTTCAGCCACGAGCACCCCATTGATCAAGACTGTCTCGCCGGTGGCCAGCACCTTCGCTGTCGCGGCCAAACCTCCGGTGTTGACCACTCCTTCGTCCACGAGCGCCCCATTAATCAAGACGGCTACTCAAATGTCGAGCGCCTCTGAAATTGCGCCTAAGCCAAGCGTGATTGCTTCTACCAGCAGTCCACCCACCCAGGCTCCCCCCACAGCATCGAGTACCTTTGCGGTAGTCGCTAAGCCCGCGGTGACGCCTTCGCCAGCGACCAGCGTTCCACTCATCAAGTCCACCCTCTCAAGCGCAACTCCACTGGCCAAGCCGAACGTGACCACCCAGACCACCAGTACTGCGTTGATCAAGACTCCCATATCAGCATCGAGCACGCTTGCTATGATCCCCAGACCTGCGGTATCTCCAGAAACAGAACCCTCCGACTCATTGGAATATTCTTTTGCAAGCGCTGACTGGGAAGTGATCACGACGTGGTCGCCGCCCTCGAGCACCTCATCGGCCGAACCGGCCTTGTCCACAACAACCGTCTACGTTGAACAGGAGATCATCGTTCTCGTGGATGATCACGGTGTCCCTATCGAGACGCAGACTGGCTCTTTAGAAACCGCCTCCAAGACGACGTCCAGTGGCGGCGCGACGTCCAGCCGACCCCCTTCGAAGCGCGGTTGGTATCACAACCATGCCCGCAAGCATTACCGCCACGGACACTCCCATTGATTGGAGTTGTCCGCTATGCAGGGGTTTTGTGACTTTGTTTTCTTTCGGATATACTTATTTGCCCTTTCTTCAAATGTCCCTGCGACGGTCCAGGCACCGTCGGATTTACGATGTATATGTTAGATACCTCAGCTTCCCATCCTCGAAGGATCGGCTCCACGATCACTGTCGCTGTCTCTGGAAGAAATGCGAAGTTGAATTCTGTGGAATATATTGAATGAATGAAAGCTGACTGGAGGATATTCCAGTTGCAGTGTAACGTTATCTGCTTCTGCCACGGTACTCTTTGCCTCGCACTGTAACAGCCAAATCTCAACCTACAGGATAAGCCTTAAGTTGAGAAACTATCTCAAACAACATAAAACTACAGACTCATCTAACCACTCGGGCCTGCGCCGCTTATGCGCCCTCCTTAGCAGCCGCCCGTCGCTCAAGTTCTTCTTCAATGGTAAGTATAAGATTATGCCTTCGAAACAAACCCCAGAGAGAGGCAGGAATCCTGACGAGAGCCTTTCCTAGTGATTTGCCCAGTGCAGGCTAGAGCTATTAGTCCTAATAGGCCAGCCAGATGAGAGTTGTTTGTTGGGAGTGTGGCTTACGTTGGGTTTGAGACCGGCATAATAAAAGTTGTTGCCATAGAACCTGTCACCACCATTCATGCGACGCAAATATGTCCAAATCGCCTTGACAGTGGACTCACTCAGGTGGTCGTTGGCCCCCCTAAGTTCAAGCGCTTGGGGTTTGTCGAGATGCAAGTGCGCGTACGTGGACAACGCGTCGTCGTGCTGCTGCTCGATGGCAACATTCCAGATATTACAGATCCGTTGAGCTTCTGCGTTCGAGTCGGTGAGGCTTCTTCTGCTCTCTGAGACCGCAGCACGGCGAAAATTGTAGCCATATTTGAACATTCCTTTCCCCAGCGTGGTCTCGGGTAAATGTACTCCCTCGAGGAACAATCGGTTCGCGTACCTCGGGTAGAACAGGATGTCTCCATAGTCAGTCGTGATGGTGTCCCACGAGGTTCTCACTCCACCGATCTCCAGGGTCGTATTGCCCATCCAGAGTCCGAAAGTAACCTTGGTAATATGGGTGGAGTCCGAATCCAGAAAAATGGCAACATCCCTCGACTCCCGCGCTTTCATCACTAGAAGGGGCTTGGCGTCTTGCTCCTGTTTCCCGAGAGCAACAACGGTGGTCCGATCCAGGTATCCGGTTTCACAGAGGAGCGGCGAATCCGCCTGCGGCGACCGGAACAGCCAAAAACGACCCAGCGCATCCATCGACACCTGGTACCCGTCTCGGCTGAGGGACATGGCGGCCAGCTTCAGCCGTTCGTTCCGGAAGGTAAAGAGATCCTCGATCGTCAAATCGGGGGCCCGGGCTTTGACTTTGGCTTCGGCGCCATTCGTCGCAAGCAAATGAGCGTCCGCGGCCACGAACGAGACGCGCCCGTTCTTCTTGGAGAACTCGATAAACCCCAGAAACCCGGACACCTCTCGAACAGTCGCTGTTACGAAGATCGATTCGGCTGTCTCCTGGCGGGTTTGAGTGAATCCACCATCCAGGCCGAACGATTCGGCAATCGCATCCTTCCTGAAGAAGAAAGTCACCACGCTCGTCAGAATACGTGCAGTGGTTGCCGAGCGTAGGGAGGAAACAAACCAGAATATGTAAAGCTCACGAAATGCATCGTCGTCGGTCCATCCTCGGATCTCGCGCTCATCCGGAATCAAGTGCATGGTCGAGATCCGGTTCCTCGCCCGCGCGGACGTGGTGTCCATGGATAATGGAAAGAGCCACTACTGATCAGGTCGAAAGAAGTTCGAAAGTGAAAAAGAGAGAGGGTTATGCACGGAGAAGATGATAACAATACGGAAGGCTGTGAAGACCGAGAAACATGAACAGTAGAATACACAGTTCCCCAGGAAGCCTAGTTAGAAAGCGAAGCGAGAGGAGGGCGAACAGAACAGCCAGCTGATGGTTCTCGATAGATTAGGAAACCGCGTCCAGACCGCACTTGACGACCCAAACTGTACAAACCTGCAATCGGCCTTACTGAATCTATCCAGTTCTCCAGTCAGACCATTTACCGACAAACTCCAGTCGCAGCTCCCTCGGTTTGCTAGAAAACAGGACATGGTAGAGTTAGCCAGTCAATCACTACCACGTCCCATGGAGACCGAAAGTCAAACCCCATCCCCCCCTACGCCCTGATCCTCCCTCAGCGATTGCGGGAGTGGATGCACAACTCACCATGCAGAAATTACTCTGGCACACCCCCATACTCCCGTCCTTGTTGCAGGTCGCGCCGTTGGGTAGCTGCATGGGGTGGAGGTTAGCTTCCCCGGGTTCATGAGATGATTGGAGCGGTGCTTCGTATCCTGGTATTGGGATGGGTAGAGGTTTAAAGGGGGAAGGGGGAGCAGGTTTGGGTTTAGACTCAGAAGGAGAGGATAGGGCTAGGGTGGGGGACTGGGGAGATACGTACGATGTTCACCCGCGCGGCCAGCGGCTTCTCCTTCGCCCCTGCCGTGGTGGGGGATGCTGCTGCTGTTCCGAAGAGGGCGAGGAGGGAGAGAGTGACGAAGGTTGGGATGTGCATTTTGTTGTTTGGTCTGGATGTATCGTGTGGATTCTGAGGGGACTAGACTGATGAAATGATGGGATTGGGTGATGGTTAGGGCGAGGGAGGGGAGGGAAGGGGGGATTTATAGCTGCTGCTGCTGCTGCTGCTGCTGTTGCTGCTGCTGCTTGGATACCACTGGACGATGGCTGGAGGTTTGACATTGGGATCGGGTTGCTTTTTCTTGTGTAGTTCTTCTGGATATGGACATGGGGCAGTTTCTGATGAGATGATCGACAGTCGATCTGGAGTTGCCGGTCGCTGGTTACTGCGTGATGTGCAGGCGCTAGACCTAGGGTTGCTTTTTCCGAGTCACGAACTATTCGATTCTAGACTGGAGGGAGGCCGGCTACCTGCTGGATAGGACAGGCTGGGCGGGCGGGCGGGTTTTGAATTGGCTGAGATTAAGGGAAGAATCGATGGATGATGAGGGGATGGGATTGGTAAGGGTAAAGGTGGGATCAGAATCCTTGAGATTGGGCTTGGGTGGGATCATGATAGGTACAGTACTAGTTAGTCCTTATTCTAGGGCTGTTGTACACATTACCTGGGGTACAGTCCACGATCAGTGGCAATCTTGATTCAGACTGGTTGGTTGAGGGATCGTCGTACTAATAGACAATGTACGACAAACAGACCCTTAGTCCTCAGCTCGGCGCCAACAAAATTCGATATTCATAATGGACAAGGGCTCTCTCAAAGCACTTTCTTCGTTGAGTTAGAAGTGTTGGGATGAGGTTCCAGATAAGACATCGTGATTGTTTTGTATGCGTTGTATGGCTTGGTGGCTTATCGCGGGTGGTTCAACTGGCCTATGCATTGAGCACAAGACCTGTACTCCCTTTACAATCATCCTTGAATCCCAGTTCTTATATGCTTTTCTGTGCATTGTCACGATTGTCTTTCGATATCAATTTATATCCACAGCCTGTTGGAGTCACTTATCTGCTTTCTCGGGGTACTCAGAAGCGGTGTCCCTGTATCTTGAAGTGGATTGGGATAGCTGTCGGATTTTGGGTTAGTGGAAATATGTGTGATCAGGTTGATATGGGTTGGATATACCAGATCTTCAAAAGACTGGAAGGCTACTGGGATCGAGACAACGGCAACTGTCACTATAGGCCAGGCGACAGACCCAAGATAAGCACTGAATACACGGAGAGTAATCGATATTTCTTCAGTCCGCCTAGGGATTAATATGTAGTAGAGGAGTTAAATGAGCACAGAGTATCCTACAACTCAAACTACTGCCAGGTTAGCTTATCTCGCCCTAGAACGGCCTATTGAGCATAAGTAACACTTGCCCCAAACCCCACACCCCGGAACGCCCGGTAAGCCAGAAACAACCCGGCCTCGATTGTCAAACCTCCCCAACCCAACCGCCAGCCAAACCAAACCCACCCCCAGGCTTCGTTCCCACTTGGTTCCATGAAAGTAACATGACAACATGCTGACCCACGGGGCAAACCAGCCTGGGGAATAACCTCGAGGCTCTACAGTATGAAACGCACAAACAAAGGCCGACAGGGAAAGTACCACGCTTGACGTCGATACTGCCCCCCGGATTCGTCGGATAAGACCAGCAGAAATCAGGATTGCTATCCCAACCCTATCTACACTCTCCCCACGAGTCACATCCGACAATCCTACCGGCAGCAAGCACTGCACGGACACAACTTATCGGGTCCATTCAACGGCTGTCATAAAGAGGTGCTGTCGGGATCCCTCCAAGTGGGTCCTCGAACCAAGGTCTAGGTTATCGGGGCCTGCTTATCAAGCACAGGCGATAACGTCCGGTTTATATAGACCCCAACGGTCTTCGTCCTCGCGCCCGTGCTTTGGGTTTGAGCAGTTGAATCAATATCCCTTGTGGTTTAGTATCCATTCTTGATTCAGCCTTCAAACATTGGCGATTGGTAACGAGAACTCGGTCGGGATCCATCATGGTTTACTCCAGCCTCCAAAAGTCGCCTCCGCTCGACTTGTCGCATCATCTCTCGGCGGTGACCAAGAGACGCGAGAACAGTCTGGTGAAGAGCCTCTACAAGTACATGATCCGACCCAATGTCGATAATATGGCGGGTGGTGAGCATTGTTCTCAATCCTCTTGCGTGATGCCAGCATCACCAAGGCTTCCCCTCACTTACCGCGCACGACATCAGGCTTGCCAAATGCGTCATACTTCCCCTACGAGACCCTCGAGGCCACGGTCGCCCACCCCCAGCGATTCGCGGTGACGACAACCACAGAAAAAGGAGACGCGCGGTCCACGGACCGCATGGTCGTCCCCAAGGAAACCCCCCATGCCAACACGCTCCACAAGGTCGATGTCGCCACGGCCCTGCAGTATGGCACCGCCGAGGGACTGCCGGCCCTGGCCACGTTTGTGCGCGAGTTCGCCCGCGAGCATCTCCACCCCAACGTCCCCTATGCGGGCGGGCCGGCGACTCTACTCACGACGGGGGCGACCGACGGCCTGTCCAAGGCCGTGGAGGCGTTCACCACCGCGTGGGATCCGCGGCGCGACTGGATCAATCAGCGGGAGGGCGTGCTCTGCGAGGAGTTCGTCTTCATGAACGCCATCCAGACCTTCCAGCCCCGGGGCGTCAACGTCGCCACCGTCGCCATCGACGCGGAGGGGATGGTCGCGCACGGCAAGGGCGGGTTGGCGGATGTGCTGGAGAACTGGGATTTCAAGAAAGGTCGTCGCCCGCATCTGATGTACACCATCACGTAAGTTCCTCGACCCGTCCTCCCTCTGTCATCAAGCAATCACGAGCTAACCCGCTGACTCTCTGCCTGCAGAATCGGCCAAAATCCCACGGGCGGGACTCTGTCCGTGGAACGCCGGAAGGAGATCTATGCGCTGTGTCAGCGGTACGACATCCTGATCATCGAAGACGACCCGTACTGGAACCTCCAGTACCCGTCCGCGGCGGCCACGGAGGCCCAGTACCGCGGCTCGCCCGCCGCGGTCCACCCGGCCCCGCGCAACTATAACGCCCACGGCCGGTCCTCCGGGTACGCGTTCCTGGACTCGCTGGTCCCCTCGTATCTGTCGGTGGACACGGACGGCCGCGTCGTGCGGCTGGACACGTTCTCCAAGACCATCGCCCCCGGGTGTCGGCTGGGCTGGATCACCGCCCAGCCGGCCTTCATCGAGCGGTTGACCCGCATCACCGAGACGAGCACCCAGCAGCCGTCCGGGTTCGTGCAGGCTATGGTGGCGGAGTTGATCGTAGGTCAGCAGGTGGAATCGGGTACCAGTTCAAACCGCAAGAGCAAGGGCAAGCCGCGCGCCTGGCAGATGGATGGCTGGGTGCGGTGGCTGGAGGGGCTGCGCGCGAGCTACGAGCAGCGCATGCGCGACATGTGCACAGTCCTGGAGGAGGGGAAGTACCTGGTCGATACGGACGAGGCAGACACAAATGCAGGGACCTGGGAGGTGCTGGACAAGGTGCAGATGTATGACTTTACGTGGCCCACCGGCGGCATGTTCGTGTGGCTGAAGGTCAGCATCGAGACGCATCCCTTGCTGCAGAGGTACGGGGCCGAGCGCTTGAGCAAGGCGCTCTGGCTGCAGCTCATGGAGAAACCGTACCTGTGTCTGATGAGTCCCGGGTCGTTGTTCGCGCCCACCCCTGCGGCGCTCATCCGCTCGCAGCAGTACTTCCGGCTCTGCTTTGCGGCGATGCCCGCGGAGGAGGTCGCCGGCATCACTCGGCGGTTGGTGGACGGGTTCCGGGCGTTCTGGAGGAGGAAGGACCTGGATGGTTTGGAGGACGAGGCGGTGATGCTGCAGAGGTTGCAGTTGGAGGGGCCGGCGAATATGATGGGGTTGGGGTGTTAAATTGTTTGGTTTGTGTCGGTACTCCGTACTGCAGTAACCCGTGATGACGAGACAAAGTAAATATGGTTCATAGAGACGGTACCCTGTCAAAGATATCCCCGTCAAACTACCACACCATCTGAAACAAGCTTAGACTTGAAAGTCAACCGCTAGCAGAAAGACACTAACTAGACAACAAAACCAAGGACAAAAAAGAAAGCGACCCCACTGGGACTCGAACCCAGAACCTTCAGTACCGAAAACTGACGCCCTACCATTGAGCTATAAGGCCTGATTGGGAAAGAGGGTCCAATTCACACTCTATAGCCTACATCGAGCAAAGCTGAACAGATACCTTTCCCCTCATCAAATCTCTCTCCCCCTCACCACCTCCGATATCCAATCCGCAGTCCGTCGCAAGACAGACCACACCCACCTAACAGCACACCTCCCCTCTCCTCACCCCCTACCTACTCTCCCACATCCCCGAAGATGTCACTCCCAAACGCCGACCTTGTTGAAGAAATCGAAGCCATCAACGCGATCTACGACCCAGACACCATCACAATCTCCAGCACGGGGACCAGTACCGCAAGCCCAGCCGCCGCACCCTCCACCCTCGACCTGGGCAGCAGCAGCAGCAGCAGCAACGAACCCGCTACAACAATCTTCAAACTCCAAATTCCAAACCACCCGCACCTCTCCTTCCTCCTCGGCTTCCCCGCAACCTACCCGGACACACCCCCGCTCATCCTAGGCACCGCCTCGACCGCCGCCCGCGGCGAAGGCAAACTCGCCGTCGACATCCTCGCCTCCATCCTGTCCAGAGTATACACCGCCGGCGCGGTCTGCCTCTTCGACCTGATCTCCGAAGCGGAGACGGCGTTCACGGAGATCGGCGTGGGCGGGGAGAGTACCACTACTACCACCGCCACCACCACCACTGCCAGTAACAATGACGCCAGCAATGGCAATGGCAATGGGATAAATGCAGCGCATTCGCACGAGGAAGTCTCCCCTGCGGAATCCACCCAGCCAACGATGCAGCTGCATGAGACGTTCGGGCTCCCCGCCCCGCCGGAATGGATCCTCTCGGACGTGATCACGGAAAAGAAATCCGTGTTCGTGGGGCGGGCGGCCCGTGTGACGAGTCTGGGCCAGGCGAAGGCGTGTCTGGATTATTTATTGGCGAGCGAGAAGAGGGTCGCGGCCGCGACGCATAATATTAGTGCGTGGAGGATTCGGGAGAGGAGGAATCTAGGTGAAGCTTCTGCTGGCGGGGATGTGTCCATCGTGCAGGACTGTGATGATGATGGGGAGACGGCGGCCGGGGGCCGGCTGTTGCATCTGATGCAGTTGATGGATGTCTGGGATGTGGTCGTCGTCGTGACGCGGTGGTATGGTGGGGTGCTGTTGGGGCCGGATCGGTTTAGGATCATTAATGCTGCGGGGAGGGATGCGTTGGTCAAAGGGGGTTTCGCGAGGGAGTCGTCGTCTGGCGGGAATGGGGAGGGAGGCAAGAAGAAGAAGGGGAAGAAATGATTCGAAACCGTGGCTGTTGGGCTGATGTAGGATCGTGGGGAACGGTTATGCTGCGCAACGCATCGGTCTTGCGGTTTGATACATAATCCAGTCTGCTTCCCGGCGAGGCCGAGGCTTGAAAGGATGCAGCCTTATATGCTGCTGCTGGCGGGCTGCTGCCTGACATGGACGTGATGGCATCCATGCATCTAGGCTGGTGGGTTAGCGACATTCGCACATAAACCACTATCTTCCCCAGGCTATTGGGGTGACTCTTTTGATCCAGGGACTTCGGTCGCTGAAACACCATCCTGACGGCGCCGCATCCTGATCAACCATATCCGGCTGTGCTGGTGGAGGAGCGTGCAACCTCTTGAGAGATGGTCGTCAATGCACCCCAGAGGCTGTGGCTGCTGGTGCAGCTGGTAACTCACGGTGAAAGCGATGAGCTACATGTATAGAATGACCTTTGACATGTACACTAAATACAGGTAGATATACTGTAATACACCTCCGAGGACATACATTTCCATGATGTGACCCGAGACAATCATCCATAGTGGCTGGCACCTGTCACATGCAGCACATTCTGCGTTCGGTCTCCGACTCCAATCCAGGTACAGCCAATTTCCCTCAACCGAACGAAAACAGCCACAAACTCACTTTGGGATTCAACGTCCCCGCAGACAGGCCTAGAATGTCTATATCATAGGGCAGGTCAGGAGATGAAGGTAACCGACTCCCTTCGCTTAAGTGACGGCTGCGAATCTCCCGCGGTGGCCCGTTTCGGATACATTCTGATCCTGTTCCCCACGAAGACAGTTTCAGGCTACCTGATAGCCGAAGGTAGCCGTGATCTGTGGTTTCTTGGCATGGCGTAGAGATCTGGCTCAATTAATGAGGTTGCATTGGGGATGGGGTTGGCTATGGCTATGGCTAGGAAGATGGACCCTTGGAGCTGGGTAGCGAAATTACGATGCTTGGCTCAGTGATTGTAGGTCTTGCTCAATCCAGTCGGGCGATCGTGGTCTGCGCCATTGACTGGTGTTCAGGTGGATGTGCACCCATGTGTAGTTCACCTCAACCAAGTAAAGCAACTGAATGTATGTAATGCACAATGCATGTTGTGTAGGAGGCGCAGTGCACTGTGCATAAACCAGCAGGCATCGGTTCTCTGCAATAGCGTCGACACAAAAGCCATCGAAGTTCTAATGCGGACATTTCAACCGATGTTTAGCGGAGGTCTCCAACAGGCAGCAAAGAACTAGAAAGGCAGACTCCGCAAATCCCACAGCCAGAGTTTTGCGCCGAAAGGGTCCGCGGGGATCGGCTTGGAACCATGGAGCGGCGGTGGTTGGGAAAGGTTGCGTAGGTACGGACTGCACCTGTACAGTACTTCAAGGTATTGTTCGGTTCGTACCTCGGTCGGTCCCCTTGATTCCCAACCACAGAATTATTTTTATACACACCCTCACGGTAACAGTGAGGGACGACGCAGGTACATTACTTTGGGCATGACCCAAGCCGGAGTCCGTCCAAGCGATCCATATACTGTGTACTTTACCAGTAAGACATCTGGTTTGACTTTGTTCGCCACCAAGCGCCAAGTCCGACCAGTCAGGGTATTGATAGGCAGTATTCTCCAAACTCGGCTGCAGTCTGCAAATGAGTTCCCAAGACCTGAGTGGAGGAAGGTAGGCTTTTTTTCTCCTGATTGTATCAGCTTAGATGTCTGTTTATGGGCTTGCGTGGATTGGTTGGTTGAGTCGGTCGTATTGTCCTGATTCTGTGACCGATACACTTAGACTAACGCAATTCTGCAATATTGTTGGTAACCTGCTGGTAATAAATCTTATGATTAGCCATCCAAGTGGGGAATGATGGAGAGAGAAGGGGTGACCAGACTTGTAAGAGGCAAATGTGTTATCCCAGTTTATAAATTCACATGCGATGTGGTATCAACGGAAATGTATCCGTAGATCTGATCCCCAACAGGGAGAAGTCCGAACTGTGCGCGCGCATACACATACACGCAAACACAAATGTACACACATCATTGCAACTCAGAATCGGATACTTGACCATCAGTGGCTACATGACCCACGTCGAGCGGAGATTTCGAGGTGGAAGTAAGGGTCTGTGACGCAGGGTTTGTGTTCAGTTGACCCAGTCGGGGAGAGATGTGACTTGTAAGTCGCGAGGCGATGAGGAGTTTGGATGAGGAGGAAATGTCAATCCATGGTGGTGATTGGGCGGACAGAGTGGACTTTTGCGACAGTTCAACACAGATTCGGGTAGTTCTGTATCCATTCAAGGTTGAGGAGGGTTCATCAGGGTTCATCAGGGTTCATCAGGGTTCATGGGCAGTCAAATGAGCATTCAATCGGGCGTGGAAAGCCATGTTCCACTGGTGACTTACTCGTACCTGAATTCGAGAGCGACAAAACTTCCAAACTGCAGGCGATGATTGGCAGTGGGCCGGCGCCAATCGATCCTTCCACGGCCAATGATCCGAAGCGCCGGGCTGATGGTGCGACAAGTTCCGCCCTGAGCAGTCACCGTTTCATCTGGAGTATACTTTTCTATTCTCCTCTTCTCCACACTTTCTGCTCTGCTCTACTGCGTACTGTACATTGGACTGTATCCATTCATTCAACTGCACCTACACACTGCACATCAATGCATGTCTTTGAATCCGATCCCTGATTGTTACCTGTCGCCTGAATCATGGCGCTTGCAATTTTGAACCATGACAATGCTATATAATCCCCCCTGTACCACCAGGGCTGGGCATCTTCTCTTCCTTTCCTTCTCTCATCCCGCGCTGGAGCGTTCAGTCCTTTCATCCTTGACACCTGTTCAACAGTTTCGCAGGCTAGTCCTGTCTTTCTTTTCCTTCCCTCCTTCTTTTACTTGCATCTTTGCGGTGAACTTGCCTGTGGCAGTCTCCGACATTCCTTCCTTCGACGTAACAAAGAACAATCATTGTTTGGTGACATTTTCCGCCACAAATCCATTCTTTGACCCGTGGCGTCTTTGTTGACGGTCTGCATAAAGGTAATTTTTGTCTATGCACATCGATGTGTTATGCTCATGTGTTATGCACGGTCTTCTATACGGAAATCTACTGTTCTTTGCAGCTGTCATTGGCCTTTAACACTCCATGTACGAGATATAAAATGCACCTTGCTAACCCAGCTACATCAGTTCTTCCATCCTTCAAACTTCAAAACACTTGTTCCCATTCGTCTGGCACGATTTGAACAACATTTTACCACCACTTTCCCAACTGTCGAACAGTCTAACGCTTTACGGACCAACCACCATGTTCTCCAAGTTGACTTTCGTGGCAATTGCCCTGCTCGGCCTGTCCGCCGTTGAAGGACACATGATCATGTCCCAGCCTGTTCCCTACGGCAAGGATACTCTCAACAACTCGCCTCTGGCGGCTGATGGCAGTGACTTCCCCTGCAAGCTCCGTTCCAACACCTATCAAGTCACCGAGTGGAACAAGGCAGCTATCGGCGAAAGCATGCCCCTGACCTTCCAGGGCAGCGCTGTCCACGGTGGAGGTTCCTGTCAGATTAGTCTGACCACGGATCTCGAGCCTACCAAAGACTCAACATGGATGGTCATTAAGTCCTTTGAGGGTGGCTGTCCTGCAAATGTTGATGGAAACCTCCCCGCCAATCCCAATGGAGTGGATCCGTATTCCTTCAACTACACCATTCCCGACGGGATCACTCCTGGCAAATACACTCTGGCCTGGACCTGGTTCAACCGCATCGGTAACCGTGAGATGTACATGAACTGCGCCCCTCTTGAGGTCATTGACGGCTCCAGCTCCAAACGTTCCCGCGTGATGCCGAAATTGGAGGAGCGCTCATCCAGCTTCCCTCCCATGTTCGTCGCCAACGTCAACGGCTGCACTACCAAGGAGGGTGTCGATATCCGCTTCCCCCAGCCCGGTGCCGATGTGCAGTACCTTGGTGAGGCCAGCAACCTGGCACCCGAAGGCAGCGCTGCCTGCACCGGTACTGCTACCTTTGGTGGTGCCGGTGATACGAGCTCTGGTACTAGCTCTGGTACAAGCTCCAGCTCTGGCTCCGGCTCAAGTGCAGCATCGAGCGCAGCTGCTGCCGTCTCTGTCGTCGCCAACGCCAATGCGAACACTGGATCTTATAGTGCCTCAACTACCGCGGCCGCTGCAAACACGGCTTACGCAGCGCCTCCAGCAGCAAGCTCTGCTTCGTCTGGATCTTCGTCTGGAACTTCCTCCGGAGCTTCCTCTGGAGCTTCCCCTCAAGTTTCCTCTGGAGCTCCTTCTGGAACGTCCTCCGGCACGTCCTCTGAATCGTCTTCTTCTGCATCTGGCAGCACTAGCACATCGACCTCTGGTGCCCTGTCTGGCTCTTGTAGCCAGGAGGGCGAATGGAACTGCATCGGCGGCTCTTCCTTTCAGCGTTGCGCCAACGGCAAATGGACCTCTTCCCAGGCGATGGCGAGCGGCACCCAGTGCACGCCGGGCCAGAGCGCCGACCTCTCCATCGCTACTGCCAATTCCAAGCGCGATGTGACTGAGATGCGCGCCAGACGCCGTGCTCACGGAGGTCAAAAACACGTTTGAACGCTCCAACCACAACGATTTCTTAACGAATTTCATGATCTTATTTAAACATTCATTTTCACTCACTATGCATGCGCATGTGAAAGGCCCTTCGGAGTTCCGCTCTTTGTGTACATTCAAAACCTGAAAAGATACAGCATATTGAGATAGGAGAATATACTGCTGGTCAGTATCAGTGACTTTATTTCAGTGACTTTAATTTTTTTGTAATTCTTGTAATAGATAAATCCTCTTGGAGTGAATACGCAACTTCGTAGGACTGCAGACATCCTAGATCATGCTTATCTCCTCCATGAGAAGTTGGCCATAGTCGGGCAAGCAGTGTTAGCATAGACAATATCTAGGCCTGTCTGCATTGACCAACTGTCGGGGACTACTCAACCGGCTGCCCCATTGTGTATGTATCCTTACCCTGCTCAGGGTACATCATGCATGAGCCGCCTCTTACGCTCAGTCAGAATTGTATGACTGACGGTTACAAGCTCTCTTCAATAGGGGAAATAAAACCATCCTGACTATCTATCTGTGTCACCAGTATTGTACGCAGGGCAAAGAAGGGAGTCCACCTCAAGACTATGATCGGAGTACTAGGTGAACATAGTATATGCTCTGTCTAAAGTCTCGTTGGTGGAGCCGGAACCTCAAATACTCCACACTTGTTCCCGCCTCAGGCATCCGCCCGCACTGGCGGCCAGCTGGCGGGCTCTTAAAACAGAAATCAGGGCTAGGGCATTGCCGCACCCACGACGGGCGGTTCGAACTAAGCGAAAATTTGCGCAGGCTCATCTTTGAAGATACTCGATCTTCAACCTCGAACGACGATAACGACCACCACACCCCGTCGACAACAATGGCGTCTCGTCCTACCGTCACCATCGCCACGGCCGAGGGCAAGCCCAGCGGGGCCACTGCTCCCCTTCCCGCCGTTTTCTCTGCGCCCATCCGTCCTGACATTGTTCAGTATGTTATTCGATCTTGAGGGAATCCGAGACACCAGGAGGTTTACGACCGGGATGGAAAAGGCTGACGGATTGCGAATTACAGGCAGGTGCACACCGGCATTGCCAAGAACAAGAGACAGCCCTATGCCGTGAGCGAGAAGGCTGGTGAACAGACTTCCGCTGAGTCCTGGGGTACCGGTACGTTGGATCATCGATTGAAGAAGGGAGGCAGAATTTTCAGGGACTGATTGGGATCGGATTTGCAGGTCGCGCTGTCGCTCGTATCCCCCGTGTCTCCGGTGGTGGTACTCACCGCGCTGGTCAGGCTGCTTTCGGTAACCAGTGCCGTTCCGGTCGCATGTTCGCCCCTACCAAGGTCTGGCGTAAGTGGCACCAGAAGGTCAACGTTGGCCAGAGGTATGAGATACACCCTTCTTCGCACACTTGGGGGCAAGGGCAAGACTGACCAAGATTGACTGCAGACGTTTCGCTACCGCCTCTGCCCTCGCTGCCTCCTCCGTTCCCTCCCTTCTCTTCGCCCGCGGTCACCGTGTCGCCAACGTCCCCGAGGTTCCCCTCGTCGTTGAGTCCAAGACCTTCGAGAACGCTGCCATCAGCAAGACCAAGGCCGCCGTTGCCCTTCTCCAGGCCATCGGTGCTGGCTCTGACCTCGTCAAGGTCCAGAAGTCCCGCAAGCTCCGTGCTGGTAAGGGTAAGCTGAGGAACCGCCGCTTCCGCCAGCGCCGCGGTCCCCTCGTTGTCTACAACCCCGAGGTTGATGGCAAGGAGCTCGTCCGTGCCTTCCGCAACATCCCCGGTGTCGAGACCTCCTCCGTCTTCTCCCTCAACCTCCTCCAGCTCGCCCCCGGTGGCCACCTCGGTCGCTTCGTCGTCTGGTCCTCCGCCGCCTTCGAGGCCCTTGACCAGGTCTACGGCAGCACCACCACCCCCGCCGCCCTCAAGAAGGACTACCTCCTTCCCTCCAACCTTGTCGCCAACGCCGACCTGGCCCGTCTCATCAACTCCTCTGAGATCCAGTCCGTGCTCCGTGCTCCCAAGGGTGAGGCCCGCACCAAGCGCGCTGCTGTCCAGAAGAAGAACCCTCTCCGCAACAAGCAGGTCATGCTCCGCCTCAACCCCTACGCCGCTGCTTTCTCCAAGGAGAAGCTCGGCCAGAAGCCCCTTGAGAGCGGCAAGCCCGAGCGTGCCTCCAAGCAGTTCCTCAACACCCTCTACGAGGCTTAGATGGGTCTTGGATGACGGTCCGATGAGTGTTTGCGTTTTCTAATGTGGTCTTTTTTTTCTAAAATTGGTAGCCAGAGCAAATGAACCGAATTTGCAATACCCCATGACGTTTTTAATGAGATGGATTTGTAGTTACTTGCAGGTTTTATTCGTAGTTCAAAATAATCTTGGCGTTGTAGAGTATCTGTATGCATTATCGCGGATAGACAGAGATTTCTGTCGGCCCTAGTGTGACCACCACCACCCGGCAACTACTCACAAAGTCTCCGCCTCGAAATAGCCCTCAACATAATCGATCGAACGCCTCAACCCGTAAGGATCCCAATCACGAATCCTGCATCCTTTGGTTTTGTTCATGTTCCCGTCCTGCATCCCAATAATCCCTCATCCCGTTCGTTCCCCAACCATCAACCCATAAACAATATACCCCCGAAGCTGCATGATGTTACATCACCTCATCATGAAACTGATCTCGGCCCGACATCCCGAACGTCCAGCTCAACCTCAACCTCAACCTCAGCCCAGCCAGCCAGCCAGCCTTTTCCATCGATTTACCTACCACCCATGCTAAAAAAAAAAATTAACATTCAACTTCCCAAAACCACCCACCCAACCAACACGATTCCCTCGACCGAAAGGGGAGCCAGCAAGCCACCACCTGGCACACCCCTGACAATCAATCTACCCGGGAGAATAGATTAAAGTGATTGATGTTTGCCGACGGTTTCATGTGATGACACAACGCACGAACTACTCCCTACCTTCCGACCAACACCCACACCCAACTAAATCCACTTCACTTTTGTAGACAGCTGAGCCTAAATCTGACGCTGAGGTTTCCGTCTCCGAGGCTTTTTTTCTCATCTAAAAGAACCACGATTGATATAGATCCAAGCTATACTTTGAGAGTTTGTGGCTGTTTGCTCACGCACTGAGATCCCGGGTTCTCCGGTAACGTATTGGAGCGTGGTTTACCTTGCTTATTATGGTTGAGTGTGAGGTAGGTGTATGCAGTGGCTGAAGGTGCTCCCCGTAGTCCGGGCTTGATTGGGAGTTATCTTTGTGTCTAGGAGAATTGGAATACTCATGGGTAAAAAAAGAAAAAAAAAAAAGCCCAGGTCAATATAGACTGGGAGTCCCTATAATCAGCTAACTCCCGGTTGGTATTGTATCCGGGTTAATAGGGAAGCCTAGCATGAATCATGATGGGGCTTGGCTCTCGTTACGGGGCTTCGTGACTACGAGTATAGGCAGTCGTTGCTGCGTTTCTTATGGTCAGTGGGTTTTCTTGACTTGGGGCGAGGGGGAGAGGGGGTGGTTGTTTGTTTGTCTAAGGGGGGCAGGCATGTTCAGGGGATATGGATCTTGGTTATTGAGGTTGTATAGTTAGTAGGCTCCGTGGGTTTGTTGGTGTTCCCTCAGGGGGGCGATGGCATAGGGTTGCTTGCTCGAGTGGTTTGCTATCCTCTTGCTAGGCTGCCAGTATATGCAACTAATGAGTGTTTAAATGAACATGTCTTGGACACACCTAGAAAGTCCTCACCGATGTACATACAGTACAGCGCCTGAGACTAAACCACGGTGATTCACCGGATCCTACCGAGGCCTTTGCTTGCGCCGTTACGGGATGGATGGGGGTTCCGCTATCCGGGCTGTCAGAGATGATCCCTGTTTCTTAGGCTGGGCGCTGTATGGTTGCTTCTGGAGTTATTCACTAACTACTTGTAAGATCACTACTACCGAGCTGGGCTGGCCTTTTGGGCCCTGTGGTGAAGGGGGGTATAGGTGATGGTCTGATCTATTCTGTTATTGATGATTAGGTGGATCGTTTGTGGGGTGAGGGAATTGATGTCTGGGATAGTGGAGGTTAGAGTGCTACATGTGTATATTATTAGGTACTAGGTACTCATGTGAGTGATTACAGGTACCTACCAGCAGGGAGGAAGGTAGCATGTACTCCCAGTAACCATTCAGCTAATCCATAATTAACCTCTTATACATTGACCATCATTGGTGGGATTAAACAATCGCCGCCTCTGCGTACTCGGTGAGTGCGAGACAGAGCTGAGCAAGAGGACAAGTATCCTTCTTTCTTGAGCTCTAATTGCTTAATTCAAGAGGAGGACACTATCAATCTTTCAATCAATCAACTAAACTTCATCCTGCCGATCCCTTGGCAAAGAGACTGGCAGACGGACGCTGTCAATTAGGCTATTGATTGAACTCTCCAGGCTTTCCTCATGCTTCTCAGGACAGACACGTTTGGTCCGAGGTTGAAACCCCTGAGAGTCATAACAAGCCTGATTGCTCCGTAGGCTGGCCACGACCATTTAGACGTATCAATTCCATTCCGGTTGTGTTGATTCCCCCCTCCCCTCTCTCTGCTTTTGCCACCGCCGTCGTTGCTGGTGCTCCACTGGTTAGTACTAATCGTATTTACTGTACTTCGTATATAAGAGAGAAGGAACGGAGACCGAACTGTGTGTGGTGCCCTGTTTGTTGTTGCTGCTGCTGCTGCTGCTGCTGCTGCTGCTGCTGCATGTGTCAAAAGTACCATGCAGCTTCCTGGTCTTGGTTCTGCGGTGGACGGCGGACGGGCGACGGGCCTACGGAGATATAGTGTCGATCTAGTGCGGGTAGTGGCAATTCTGATTTGGTTTCAGAGGGGGGTCGCGGTCCGGGTCATTTGTGTGTGGAGTAGGTTAACTACTTTACGAGTAACTCTCTGGGAGAGATGACAGTTGGAATGGTGGCGATGGGCTTGGTGGAGGTCGGTTCGGGGAGGGTAGGTATGACCAGTTATACTCGGCTGGA